CCCCCCCCCCACATTATGGACACGCGGACGTGATGCGAATATGCTTATCTTGAAAGTAACGCCTACTTCGATGGATGGTCCATATTGAACAGTTGACCTGCTACTTGGGACTACGGCGTAGAGGGATTGCTTGATAAATAAATGTTATTGTTTGATAGCGTAGCACCTTAAAATCTCTGAAAAATTTTCAAACTAAATCATTAGTATTGTAATAATCAGTACAAAAATATTCAAATATACAACTAATTCGGGGGTCAGGGGGAATATATATTAGTCTCATTATCACACTCACATGTAAAACGCTTATTTAAAATAGAAAGTAGGCGTTACGTCTTAATTTCTGAATGCTTCTGAAAATCCCTGAAATTAAAGTTAAAGACACAATTAATATCTTTATGATTATTTTCCAAGTAGCATTGCAGCTAGGCTGCAGCCACAAGGAATTTTGCAAGAGTGTTCTTTTCAAATTTAATGACAATATAGTTTAGTAAATATGATAAAAATTTATTTTTAATAAAGAACGGTAGAATTAATATTTTTTTTAACTTAAAAAGATTTGTTGCTGTTGTTTTATCTTGGCGCTTGAGAACTGAATAGGATGTCTGATGATGAGCCGAATTTAATCAGTAGTTTAGTAGATTGGCCTGGCAGTTGAATAGGTTGTCCTGGCGTTGTGAACGAGTCGTAGTTGTCGTTTCTTAAGTTCTGGAATGGAAGGTTTATGAAAAGAGTCCTTGAAAAATTAGCACTTCGTAACGGCAGTTTGTTCTTTACTCATACATATCGATAACTTATTTTACGAATTTAAAATAGTTTTGATTTTTTTCCCCTTCTACAAATGCTTCGTAGCAGACGATGATATGCAGGCATTGATTTTGTTTCCAACTGGCGTAAAAAGGTGGGGACGGAAAGAAACACAGTAGGGTAATTTCATGATCTAGGCCAGGGGTGGCGAACCTTTATACACCAACGTGCCATTTTGTTCTAAAAAATTATTTAATGATGTCATACACGTGTCGTTAAATAATTTTGACTTCGTGATTATTGAGAAAATAATAATACTAAATACTATCAACTCAAAACTCTTTATTTACATTGAAAAAAAAAACATTTTGCTATGTCTCAGTTATACGCGTAATTCAACTTAAAGTAACATCAGTGTGACTTCTGTTGTTGCAGATTAGATGACAAATAACTTAGATTAGGTTTGCAAGATGTTAGTTTAAGCAGGACTGTTAATTTTTTTAGCTAGTTATTTATTGTTAGCTTGTTTTTTATGGTTATTAATTGTTTTTTAGCGTTAATTGTTAATTTTCTTATTAATTATTGTTTATTATTTTTGTGTGTTTTTTGTGAATTTTAATTTAATTGTTACATATGCTTCATAGTGTAATAACAAATGTGATCGGTGGCGTGCCCAAAATAATGTGTCGAGTGCCATAAATGGCACGCGTGCCATTGGTTCGCCATCCCTGATCTAGGCAGTTTAAAATATTTTATTCAGCATTCTGCTTACTAAGATGTTTTTATATTGGATTATCGAGTAAAAATTTAGTTGAGTGCATTTTATCAAATAAACTATTTTCTATCTTCATTTTTGTTTTAAATTTTATTTATTTATTTTTTTTTACTATTTATTTCATATTTATGAGAATCCCGATTTTAACAAAAATCAAGAGATGTTGTGTTCTAAAGAGATTAACTCATTGTGTATTTAGTTATATCTTGCGTCAAAGAACATTGATTCATTATTATTGTAGAAGCAAGTATTCTCTATTACTAAATTTCAAGCTTTTAAGTCTATATATTAAGCGACGCAATTAATTTTCGCTAAACTCTCTATATTAAAAAATCGTAAGGGCCATAGCCAGCGCAGCTATTTTACGTGTTCAACTCAACGTTACACTTTGTTCGAAATTATACTCAATTAGTTCAAAATTAGTATAAGTAGATAAATGTTTAGTTTACAATGGAATAAAAAAAATAGCAGTGATTGGTACTACTACTTTAACTAATAAAAACTACAGGAAGTTAATAAAAATTATGGTCTAATTTAAAAAATTATGAAATTATTTATAGAAATAATTGAAAACATTTTTACTTCATGCTGCATTTACAGAAACAATAAAATACAATACAAGCCTTGGCGCGAATATCGGAACTTCATTATATTCCGTTAAATAAATAAGTAATCGAACAAATGTTTCCAGCTTCGCACGAAATTAAGCAGTGATTGCATTTTAATTAATAAAAATTACAATATATTGAAAATTAAATCATAATTTTAAAAAATATATAGAAATATTATTTATAGAAATAATAGAAAAAACTTTTGCGTCATGAGGCATTTACCGAAATTATATAATTCGAGCTTTAGCGCGAATATCAAACTTTTTAATATTCCGTTAAATAAATAAGTTTAAGTAATAGAACTAATGTTTCCAATTCTACAAGAAACTAAGAAGTGACTGATATGTGTATATTAATTAATGAAAATAACGTCATTAATTAATAAAAATTCTAATGTAATTAATTATTAATTAATGTTATTAAATTTTTTTTTGAAATAATAGAAAACATTTTTAATTTTTGATGCACTTACCAAACAATAGGTATAATCCAAGCTTTAGCGAAATATCATACTTTCTTATATTCCATTAATTAAGGTAATTTAATAGAAATATTTTCAATTCTTAACGAAACTAAGCAGTGATTGATACTTTATTTAACAAAAAAATACAATATAATTACTAAAAAATTATAGTATAATTTAAAATAAATTATAAAGTTATTTATATATACAACAAAAAACATTTTTACTTTATGATCCATTTATCGAAACAACATAATACAAGCTTTAGCGTGAATACCAAACTTCTTTATCTAATAATTAAAGCGACTGAGAAAACGGAGTAAATTTTTCCAATTCTACAAAAAACTAAGCAGTAAATTAGTATTAAATAATAAAAATTATAGTATAATTTTTTTTAAAAAATTACAACTAAGCAGTGTATTATTATTTTAAGTAATCAAAATTATAGTGAAATTATAAAATTATTTATCTAAATAATACTAAACATTTTTGTTTTATGATGCACTTACCATAATAAATTCAATACAAGCTTTAGCAAAATATCAAACTTCTTTATATTCCATTAATTAAGGCAATTTAATCAACAAAGCAAATAAAAATGTTTACAATTCTACATTAAACTGAGCAGTGACTAATACTACTATTTAAATTAATAAAAATTACAGTATAATTAATAAAAATATAGTATAATTTTACTAAGTACTTACCGAAATAATATAATACAAGCTTTAGCAGAATATGGAACTTTTTTATATACATCCGCATTTCTAGGTATTATTCCCTTTATTATTTGAAATTTCTTTTTTATCTCTTTCACCGAAATCATGAATTCATTAATAACGTGAATATCTTCCTCTTGGCGTAAAATTTTCAAACGGATGCATTCACCGAACAAATTTAAATCCTTGAAACTTTTGGGGGAATTTGTTGCAGTCTCCCTAAGATTAAACTGCTCAGTTTTTTTCTTTTGTTTATAAGAATGCGAGTTTTCTATTTCAATTGGTCTTCGGTCCTGATTATTCACATCTTTTTCTCCATTGTCGACATACAACCACACATCACTTAAAGAAGATTCTTTTGATATAGTTTGAATATCTACTTTCTTTGTTGGAAGTTTGGTAATCACTTTTTGTGCTGGTTCCTCTTCCTCAGAGTCACGATCACTGCTTGAATCCGTTGATTCATCAAAACGAGGAATTCTGCAGGATAATAAAGCCTTCACAATTGGTTTAAAAAGCGAATACATTTTTTTTCCTTTACAATTTGAGTAGTTTCCAACTATATATTATTTCCTTTTATCTGATTAAAAAAAAAAAAATTCTATTTCTCCGTCGGACTTTAAGGCGAATGATTAGTTTCTCATTGTCAGTTGTATAAATATTTAATCACATATTTCACGTAAAAATAGTTAAAAAAGCAGAATAATGATCCTCACATTTTGCGATTCGTGTCAGTAAATAAAGAATATATCTTATCTGATCCCAGAAGAAAACGAGGGATAAAAGTTTCGGTTTAGAAAAATGACGTCCTTGACGATTGCTCATTGCGCAGATGTCTATTTCTTATTATTTATTTTTCGCTATGAAAATCTAAAGCAGCATTTTCCTATCATAAGGTTTGGTGCAAGGGTCATCGGGATTCCAAAAGTTAAGAATTTTTTTAAGCTAGTAATCATTTTCATAACATTTAATTAAATTTATAGCACATTAATAATCCATTATTTATTTAATATATCCATTTTTTTATGAAATTCTTGTGAAGAAATTTCAAAACAATGTTTTCTCATAACAATATGATGAATTAATTATGAAAAAGATATGCATTTATAAAATACTCCATTAGCATTTCATACAGAATAAAAAAAAACCAAATTCAACAGTGAAGAAGTATTTTTCTGATTACCAATTCTTCTTTTTTTGTTTTAATTTTAAAAGATACCGTAGAGAAAAATAAAATATTTGTGGTTCGTCTAATCAAAATGGCTCAGGGTTCGTAAAAAAGAGATCATAACAAACTAACAAAAACAAACTTTTAATTTTAACAAATAACAAGCATATAGATCTTTAAGAACATCTAAAAAAACAAATTTGCATTATGCTTGCGCATTCTATTCGAAAAATATTCATATCAAGAATAAATAGGTTATCCAATTATATCGCCTGCCAAAAGTGATATTAACACCTAAGAAAGAACTAACTTTCCAAAATGGCCGTCAGCGCCATCTATCAACAACATTTTCTACACCATATTTCAGTATATTCGTTTTCAGTTTATGCATGATCTAAAATCAAATAAAAAACTAAACTAGATGGCGCTCCAGACCTCCGAATTCAACTGTTTGATGTAAAACCCAATTTCAAAAATTTTTTGGGGGGTTCAAAATTAGTAGTCGTAAATCCATAGAATTGGGACGGCTGTTCAACGACGGTTATAAAATAAAATAAAATGTGAAGAATAAGAGCCGTGATGACTCAGGGAATAGAGCTTTCGCCTTCCAATGAGGTGAGCCAGGGTTCGAATCCCAGCTTTGGCTGGTAGATACGAATTTCGCATCCGGCTTGCACCGATCACAGTGCTGACGTAAAATATCCTCAGTGGTAGACGGATCATTAGTTAGAGTCCCCTTGCCGTCAGGCTAACCGTGGTAGGTTTTCGTGGTTTTCCTCTCCATGAAACGCAAATGCAGGTTGGTTTCATCAAAATGTCCTCCATGACGGCAAATTTCTCCCAATACTTGATCTGAGAGCTCCCTTGTCTTCTGGATTGGGTTCGAAATTACAAGGCTAAGGAGTTGAACATTAGTAGTCGTAAACCCAAAAAATTGGGTCGGTTGTTCAACGACGGTTATAAAATAAAATATAAAATGCGAAGAATAAAATAGTTACTTTCATTGTTTTATCAGTAATAGTCTTAAAATTAAATTTTTCGTTCGACAGTTAAATTCAAAGGTGTGAAGCGTCATCTGAATATTTTCTTGGTGGTAGGTACTTTACTTACGTCGCACTAGAGCTGCACAATGGGCTATTGGCGACGGTCTGGGAAACATCCCTGAGAATGAGGACATGCCATCACAATTGTGATCCTCTGCAGAGGGGATGGCTCCCCTGCTTTGGTAGCCCGACGACCTTCTCGCTAAGTCGAGCACTTTACAGTAGAACAGTTTAATGAGGAACGATACCGAGCACCCACAAAATAAGGGGGGGGGGCTGCACCTTAATGTTAATTTACCTTATTGCGTATATTTCACTATATCTCGAGCACACGATGATAAAATGCTTTTATCTGAAGATAATTTCATACAAAAAATACTTTTCATATAACTACTCTGATAAATAAGCTATTGATCTCTGGCATGGAGTTTACTTTGCCTGGCGTAGTTTGTTATACTAATTTCAAATCTGAAAACGGTTTTATTTTTTAAGATAGTGACAAAAATTAATTTTCAAGGAGCACAGTTTACTTTTCATAGAATACTGTTCAAATTTTAGTAAAGTTAATAGAATACTGCTTAAATTTTCGTAAAGTTAATAGAATACTGTTTAAATTTTACTAAAGTTAATAGAATACTGCTTAAATTTTAGTAATTTAGTTAATAGAATACTGCTTAAATTTTAGTAAAATTAATAAAATACAGCTTAAATTTTAGTAAAGTTAATAAAATACTGCTTAAATTTTAGTAAAGTTAATAGAATGCTGCTTAAATTTTAGTAAAGTTAATAGGATACTGCTTAAATTTTATTAAAGTTAATAGAATACTGCTTAAATTTTAGTAAAGTTAATAGAATACTGCTTAAAATGGAATTTGCAGGCTTTGGGGTACAACTACACATTTTCGCTTCTATATCTGAATTTCTTTGCAATGAGTGACACTTTATATTAAAACCACAGGAAATAGACCAGAAGGAAAAAAAAGCAAAGAAGAAGAGCATTAGGAAAAAAGCACTACTTCAACAATTATATGAATTAAATTATTCATTTGACTCAGGCAGTTAAACATAAAACCAATAAAATTAAAAATCAATTCGAATGTAAATAGATACTTTTTTTAAGGAAAAAAAAACTGGCTAATTGTAAAGTTTAAATTGAACTTTGCATAAACGTACTTATAATGCATATTCTGATTTTTTTTTTTTTCAGTTGAACATAATACAATTATAAAATATACTTAAAAGTGTTATTATAGATAATGTATCAATTAACAATTGTTTCTCGTGAATTTAATTTTGTGCTAAGTTTAAAATATTGACAAAAATTATGAAATGATTATTTGAATACAATTGGAAAAAAAAATCGTTGATAAAGCATTGTTACTACACAATTAGTGCAATTGTTGAAGTGATGTTTTTTCTTATGGTGCTGTTTACAAAACGGTTTTTAGAGGAAAGGGGATTCTTTTCGGTGCTTTTTTTCTTGAGTTTATTTCCGGTTTCTTTTTTGGTACTTTTTTAAAAACTAATTTTCGTTTTTTTTCTTCTTTTCGATACTCTTTTTTTTCCTTCCGTTTATCTCTTGCTACTGTGTGGACGTTTAAGAAGACACGATGTGTACAAATTGAAAATAAAAATTTAGTCACTTTGAATAACTTTTGATCCTAATGATCAGATTTTCACGTTCTAGAACTCAATCTTAATGTCTCAAGGGGTGACATGATAGGACTCAATCTCGATGTGGTGATCTAAAATATGCTAATTAGTGAATGAAGACGATTTTTTGAGTTACGAAATCAAACAAAACAAAAACAAAAAACGGCACTTTCTCTGAATAAACGAAACTTTTTTTCAACTACGGATTCGAATTTTTGACTCCCAAAATAAAGTGGGTAGCCACATTTTGGGAAATATGGTCCCTATAGTTCGGTCAGGAGAGCGGTTTCACTTTTCGCCATATCTCGAGAACATTTTAAGCAATTAAAAAAAATTTGCACAAAATTGTTAAATTCGATTGTCCAAAGATAATTCTATTCATAAGATGACTTTTAGCAAATATTTATTTATTTTTTATTATTTTATTATATTATTTTCTTATTATAATATTTATTTTTTATTTTATTATTATAATAGTAAAAAAAAAAAAGAAAATTATTGTAGATATTTTTTTAAAAAAAATCATTTTAAACAATTTTACATGGCAAAATAAAATATTCGGGTGAAATCCGTCGAGTAGTTTCTAAGAAATAAAATTTTTAAAAAAAGTATTTTTTTTAAAAAAATTCGATTTCTCAGAAGCTATTCAACCATCAACCGCTCTCTCTCATAATTTGTACTTTGCCATGTAAAATTATGTTTAAAATAATGTAAAAAAAATTGTACCTTACAATTCAAGATTTTTTCTGACTATTATTAAAGAATTTTTTTTTTTTAAATTTCCAATGAGTTGCACAATCGGTCTTGCCGATGAGCAGACCTAGTGCATTCTCCAGAGGTAGTATCCACTCTTTCAGGACCACCACAATGGGTGAGATACCGTAGGTCATGTTAATTTGGACGTCTAGTTTCTGCCACACTAGATGGCAGCACCGAGACTCTATTTGGATGCTAAAGTGCACTAGGAGAAAATAATAAATATTGACTAAAAGTTATATTTTTCATGGAATTATCTGAGGATAAACTAATTATGTAACTGTGTACAAAAATTGTTCAATTCGTCTGAAAAGTTCTCGGAGACATGGCGAAATATATACATTTTATATTAAGGAGCTCAAACTTATTATCACTCTCTGGACCAAAGTATGGAGATCACATTTCCCAAATTGCGGCTACCCCTATATTTTGGGGGTCAGAAATCCGAATCCGTTGGAGAAAAAAAAAAGTCAGGTGTTTATTCAGAGATAGTGCGTTTTTGTGTCTGATTTTGAAACTTAAAATATCGTCAGCTCCAATCAATTACTAATATATTCAAGGCTAAATCTCGAACCATTAAGTGAAAATTGTTGTTGAATGTTGAGAACGTGAAAATCCAATCATTGCAGCAAAAATTATTCAGGGTGTTTCATATTTTATTTAGCACACTTTATATTTGAATTATTTATACGTAATGATGGGTAAAATTTCTTTAAATCTAATTTACTAAACATAAAAACAAATATTTTAGCATACATTTAGCACTAGAGGAACAAGTTGATATCTGTGTTTTAGTTTTAATTTCATTTTTTAGTTGGAATTGTAAAAAATAAAATTAATAATTTTGAATTTAAAAAAGGTTTAGATACATATAATATTTAATTCCATAAAAGTAAATATTTGATATTGTTAACAGATGTGAAAAAAAATTGGCAGAATTGACACTTTTTGCAGAAATAAATTTCTATTTGATCAGCTAATAAGTGTTTAATATGAATGTATTAAATTCTATTTCAACCTGCAAAACATAAATAAATTTTTTAACTAAGACATACTTAAATTTTAAACTGAAAGTCTATCATACTTTCAAAACTATGCATTACAGATAGGATAATACATTTAATTCCTTCCATTATTGTACAATAAATTAAGATGGGCAAGCAACAAATAAAATAAAAAAATATTGCCACACAATTTTGCCTTAAATGACACAAAATATTAATTTTCTAAATTTCGACTTATTCTAATTCATCTAAACTTCGACTTATTCGTAATTTTGTTTACTGGAAAAAATGCAATAATTTTTTTCTAATTCTCTTTAATGCACTCTCATTTGTCAAGCTGTCAATTTTTAAAAAAAAATTTAGCCATAATTGTATATAAAAAAAAGTTAATTACAGATATGCTATGCAAACGAAAAACACTGTTTTTATTAATTATGTCATTAATTGATGAAATATAATTCTTTGTGTTATGTACAGGAATTTTCTCAACTTGTCTTTACATTTGTCTATAAGTGGAGAGAAAAAAAAGTTAAATCCATTCTGTTGTTTAGTTATATGAATGCTGAAAAAAGATCCACAAGTTGTTTTTTTAAATATGTTTTTTTTTTAATTCTTTTATGACAGAACAACCCACAGTAGGCCTTGGTTTGCTAAATAATGCTACTTCAAACTTTGTGTACTCAACTTTGGTGTTACAATTAGTAATTTATATTACAGTTAGATCTTTCGTTAGTTCTTTCTCTAAGTCTTGAGCTCATTGATTTCCTATTTTAATTTTTTCTAAATCCATGTTTTGGTTCATTTGAAAAGAAATTTTGTAAATAATAATAAATAAAGTAATAATAAATAAATAGTTTCCAATTGGTTTACCAACTTTATTTTCAATGCCAACAATATTACATCAATGTTTCAAATTTTAAGATAATCGCTAATGCACATTACAGGAAAATTCTAAATAAGTAAGAAAAAAATTTCTACATTATTAAGTAGCAGAAAAATATACTGAATATAAACAATAGAGCATATCACAGAATAAAACTTTTGTCTTTTTTTACAATTATGTTTATTATACAAAATCAAATTTAAAAAATATTTTTTGTTCAATGATTTAAAATTAAAAACTATTTTATTCAATAAGTTCTATTTCATACATTTGTTCATAAGAAACAAATATTTTCTTTTCTTCCCAACAAAAAGCAACTATTTTAAAATTTGAGAATCCAAATAAAACAATGACACACTTGCATAATTTGGCACACTTTGTTTAAAAAGTTTCAAATTAAGTAAACCAAAATACGTTCATAATTTTTACCCTTAGGTAAACTCCAAATTATAAGGAAAAAAATAGTATTACATTCATAAAAACTAAAACATGGAGTAAAAGAATAAAACATATTTAACTCTGATCAACTTTGCTTCTGGTAATTTTAACTTTTTTTTTTCAATAAACATTTCACATGCACAAAATTTAAGAGAATAATTTTTTAATAAAAGAAATTTTCAAAATATCATTGAATAAAATTTATATTCAACTTTAAAATTTTAGCTGGGAACATAAATTCCAATGAATTTTATCCAGATTCCAGGAACAATCTCAAACAGAGTCAAATAAAAAATTAAAATATAAATGACTAAATACAAATAAAAATTAGGCAAAAAAAAGAAAGAATGTCACCATAAAATGAAAAAACCCTACACATATCTATAAATTTATATGTACCTTTTTCTCAAGCAAATTATTATAACAAATATATAATGGCAAGAAAAATAAAGATTTTTTCTACTTATATAAGATAAAAATTTTTTTAGAACTTCTCAAGTAGAATAATTTTGATGAAAATATTATATTATTCCATTCACTTAAAATGTTTTTATGGGTTTGAATAATTTAAATATCAGATTACTCTTATGAAATATAATAGCAATTCAGATAACCAATAATACACATTATTTATGAGAAAACATTACTGTAACTTTACAAATTGAAAAAAAAAAAAGTAAATAATATGATAAATGACTAAATATTTAATAAATGACTAAACGTTTTATAGATATATAGATATAACTAATGTAGAGACAAAAAAAAATATTAAAATCAGTTAAAGCGAATATATTAGATAAAATTGCAAGTAAAACATGACAAATTAATTTAATTTGATGGATAAAAGTTATAAACTATTTTATTTTCAAGTGAATTTTGAAGATAAAGGGAATATAAACATATTCATCACAAATCAATAGAAAACTACGATAATTTTACGCATTAAAAAAACTTATACTAGCATATAACAATATTTAATATATGACTAAATATTTTTCACACACGTAAAGCATAGTTTACACTCATAACACATAAAATTTGTTGGCCCTGAAAAGGAACTTTTCTTAAAGAGAAGAAACAGGAGGGAGATGTTAAATCTCCAAAATCATACAAAGTATGGCCTACTCATACAACTAACATTCTTTTGAAAGCAAACAGCTTTTCACAAAATAACTTTGCTTCATACTTCATACTCAAGAGAAAAGAATTCTAATCATCCATGCTAATGTTGCAAAAATTAACTTTGCATGAAACATTATTTTGGATGATTTATCAACAAAAATTACATTTTTCTCATTTCTAATGAAATGCTGAAGTTAGTAAAAACAAGTGTTCAAAAGTCTTTATTTTGCTTACACGAACACTATGTTTTCTCTTTAATTAATCTTTAACTGACAATAGTATGTTCATATACATACATTACACAGAAATTGAAAAAAGTACAAAACATGAGTACTAAATCAATTAATAGTAGGCCTGTGATATCCTTAGATTCTACTATAATGAATAATAATAGTAGTTCTGAGATGTCCTTAAATTCTACTATGATGAATTCAAAATATGGAATTGTAGTTAGAATATACTATCATTAATAGTAGTTCAGAAATGTCCTTAAATTCCACTCTATGATGCCCTTAGATGCACAGACTTTCAATATAACAATACAGTTTCACTTCGGTAAACAAATGTATCCATACATGCATTTCTATAGTTACTATAGACATTTACACTATATTCCAAAATGGTAATAAATCATGTATTACCCAGACTCATAAAATTTTTGAACTCACAGCACCTAAAGAAATTACAGTAAACTGTGAATTACAGTAAACTTCTATTAATTACAGTAAACTGTGAATTCAAAAAATACACTTCTTTGCACCAAACAGTCTACAGAAATTTAAGGAATGCTAAATGTATGTTACATGCAATCATCTCAAAGTATTAACTTACTACTTTGGCTAAAGAGTCCATAAGAAGTAAATACAACCACTCAAGAAATTTGAGTGAAAAAAAATCCCACCCCTAATCTTGAAAAGGTAGCAACAGTAAATATTGAAGCCTTACCTCCCAAGATCCCACCCAAAAAAAGTAATGCAGTAAACAAAAAGGGTAAAAATATTCTGATTCTAGAGCACATCTCTTTCGTTACTGCATTACTTGGAAAAAATTCAATTTGTGAACATCTTTACACACCAATTTGTGCACATTTTGAACATTTTACATAGGAAAGTTCATTTCACCAACGCAAAATGGTACTATACTCAGTCTTTAATGTATAGTGCAAATAAATTGCACACATTAAAGTTTCATATAAAAACAAATGTAAAAAAGTACAATAAGTGATATAAATTGTGAACTAGAAGAATAATTGAAAAGTAGGTCAAGATCAAAATATTGCAGAATTTAAAAGGGAACACTCAGCAAAGTTAATGAGAAATGTTGTCAAATAATTTTTGGGCAAGTTTTATAATTATTTCTTTATTGCTAGGCATTTCAGAATTTCATAAAATTTGTTGATTTGTATAATATATTTATTGAAAAAATGTGTCTCTATGGTTACGGAGCAATAAATTCAACTGATGAAAATTTTTCGAGAAACATCACCTCGAAACATCACTAAGTGTTCCCTTTTAAGTCACCCAAAAGATAAAATCAAAATATTTTTATGAATGTTAAGCAAGATTTTTGATTTACATTTTAAAGTATACCTTATAAAATAAAGTTTACAAACAAGTTGGACAATAACTTTAGGTCCATAAAAGAAAATATTAAAATGAATTGAAAAACACATTTTTTTTTTTTTTATCATTATAAAATATAAAAATTGCATAGGGTATAGATTAAAAAATTTGTATGAAAAATTTTGCAACTGTCCCCTCACCATTTCATGCATTATTCTTGAAATTTCGGAAGAATATGAAATTTAGCTTTTAAAGAATACTATATTATTGAGAAGTTACAGTTGATAGAAGTAGAGCTAAGAGTCTGTAGTCTAATCTATAGTAGATTAAGTCTACAGAAAAAAAGTAAGATTATGTAAAATTAATTTTTCCCATATTAAAAGAATAAAGGAGGGAGAAAATGAATCAAAGATATATTTTAATACTAATTAAACAGACATTATAGTTAGAAGTTTTGTTAAACTTTTTTTTCTTCATTTTATGCTACATTAAAGCACAGAACTCATTTAAAATTCAGCTAATTAATATATCATATGATATAAAGTTGTTAAAGAATACAATTATAAAAAACTTACAAAAAAATTTTTGAAAATAAATTTTTTAATATCTAATTCTGGAACAGCAAGAAAAAAAAAATTTTTTTTTTTTTAATTAAACATTTTTCTTTCTTTGACCATATATAATTATTCCATGCTATAACAAGTTTTTAAAAAAAAAATATGTCTTTCAGCCCATTTTTGGCAACATATAGTATCAATCTTATTTTTAGTTGCTAATGCTAAATAGATAATAGACAAAAAAATAATAGATAAAAGACTGATTTATTTTCAAATATGTAATATTATTAAAAATCAATTAAAAGCACCTTTTTTTATTTTTAGACAAAAATTAAATGTGTAAGATTTTAGTTAACCTTAGAAAAAGAAACGTATCAATATATTTAGAGTTTTCTGAGATTTTTAAGGTAATTAAGAAATATCAGCATTAGCAGCAAGAAATAAGATTGGGGAAATCCAATGAAATTTTATGATATTTTGTTATTTCCTGTGTGGCAGGGTGACACTTGTATTTTTTTTTTTTTTTTTTTTTTNTTTTTTTTTTTTTTTTTACAATTACTGTGAAATAACAAAACATAAAAATCAAATCAAAATATTTTAAAGAGCAAATAAAAATAATCACTTCATTAAAAAAAATTGTTGAAACTACAAACAAATGGAATGAATCGTAAATACATGGATTCACTTCTAGGAGAATTCTTGCTTAGAAGCTCACAGTATAAAAAAGTTTTTCAATAAAAATCAAACACGGCGAAACATTCGAAGATAATTCTGTTGTGAAATGACAACCATTTGAATTCTGCACACATTTAAAGTTTGCAACTCCACTACAAATACGAGGTTGAATATCCTCGATCATGACAGAAACTTCAACTCTTTCTGACGGCTGAACCAATACATCCTTACCAAAATTAAGGATAATCAAAGATCTTAAGCGTTTTTCCTTTTCATCGGAAACAATCATTTGATTCCCTTTCGAAACTTTATACTCGATATTCACACTTTCTGCAGAATGCACATCAAACTTAATTTGAACCCCCGTCAAAATATAAGTCCCTGTCACGGCCTGAAACACAAGAACATTTCTAATATCTTTTTTAAAGGCTGCTGAAAAGTCATGGTTCACGGGATTCAATGGTATGCAGAATTCAGATGGTTCAATAAGAAGTTTGGAAGAAACAATGCAGGAAGATGATATGTACTGAAATTCCATAGACAAAGGAGTAATGCACATATACTGGTACAATGATAACCCTTCAACTTTAGTTACATTGTTCAAATGATACATTACCTTTAAGTAACATGCATTGTGAATGATCTCTTCCACATTCTGAAGAGTTGGGGGGTTTTCTGCAAAATATTGCTCAGACATTTTCTTCAACCGTTTCAAGTTGTATTTAAGGCTAAGAGCCATAATTTCCAGAGCTACTTTCCAGCTTGATATTTTTTGATATGAAGAGAAAAGATATCTGAAATAAAATATTAAGTAGTATGTTTTAATTATTATGTATTTTCTTAATAAATATATCAGGTAGAATGATAAAAAAGTTGAAAGGTACCACAGTATGCATAGGCAGGGGTCTGTCCAGACATTTTGTGAAAGGTTCGTTTTTGTAAAATTGTGAAAAAATGAACTTGTAATTTGTGAATATAAAATAAACGTTAAGTCACATTACTTCAACCAGGGTCCGGCTTTTGTGAATTTGTGCAAATAGGGTCCTGTTATTGCAAAAAACTTTTTCAATGAGTTTTTAAATTGTAAAGACATAAGATTATGCTCAACACTGTAAAATTATAATTAAAGAAAAATTAAATTTTAAAAAATAAACGGCAATTGCTGCTACTAAATTAGAGATGCAACACACAAATATTTGGTATTTAGCCTATACTGCTGCAGCAGAATATTCATTTCGGACAAATAAAGGAAGAAGTGTCAGCCGAAAACAAAACTTCGTTCGTTTACATCTGTCTTTCTCTCCCCCCCCTTCCTGGGAAGGGTGTATTCGATTAACAAAACAATAATGAAGATAAACAAATTTGTGAAGGGTCCCATTAAAAGATAAATTATTTTGTGAAGGGTCCATCTTTAAGCTAAAATATTTTGCGAAGGGTCCACTTTAATGGAAAGATATTTTGTGAAGGATCTGTTAACAGACCCAAATTTCTTTTAAACAGACCCCTGATAGGGGTAAATATATATTAAGGCAATTTTTTTTTAATGTGTTCTATGGAACCTATATTAATCAAATTTTTAAAGTTAGGGTCAAAAGTATTTATAAAATTTGTATTTTAAAAATACTTGCAACCTCATATTTTAAATTTGGTAAATAGGTTTAATTAAACCCCCTTCAAGAAATAAAATGAAACAATACACATTCAAAAAATATTAATTAAGTAACTAATAGTGAAATTACATTCATATTACTCTCCATAGGCTTGCATGGCAAAACTAAAATCTCTTTTCCATCTGAAGAGGAGTGTTAATACTAATTCTATGGAAGATTTCTTCCGCATATATGTTTAGAAAATTGTCATGCAATTATTTATTTTTGATTTGTATATGCAATTATTTATTTTCTATTTGTATGATCAAACTCTTACAATGTGTTGTTAAATTATTTTGATAGCATAATTTAAATATTTTTTATTTAAACTTTAAAAAAAAGTACTTTCTATAAAAAGAAAGGATTTTAAATGCTAAAACAATAACCAAATACATTACTTAAAAAAATTCAAATTTTTTATGCCAGTTATTAGCAATACTCTGATAAAGTGAGAAACATGATAGATGTTATCACTCCACCAAGAGAAATAAAAGTAGCTTAAATGTTTAATAAACTATTGTCTCTCTACAATAGTTTTTATTAAACATTTTTTAATTGATTTGAAATGCTTAGCAAAATTTTTATCCCTATTTAAATTAAAAATGCGTTTATACACCCCCAAAAAAAGAAACTAATAAAAAATTACCAGTTGAGAATGATCCTGACTAAGTAAATATTTATACAGTATAGTCAAAGTTGAGGAATGCTAAAAAAATTTCCAGATTACAAGTTCAGAATTAAATATGTTCTAAAATGTAAAAAAAATAAATAAATAAAATAAAAAAGATATTCTAAAAAGTAGGGTCATAAAACATCAGAATGAGTACTAATTAATATGTTTGCATAATAGTTGATAATAAGTCTAAATACAGTAATGATAATTTTATACTTTTTTAAAAGCAACACAAAAATAATTGTGCATTAAATAGGAAGGAATTGGTTTACGATGAATTTGCATTAATAGAGTTTATTAAAAAACTACCATCGGGGCATGTCGACATCATTTGCAAAATTCCTCATCAATCCATTTTTCTATTCGAAAAATAGCAACCAAATCATCACCTTTCATGATTTTGGAGCATTTCGTGAAACATTTTTATATGTGGGCAACATATTTTATTGGGAAGTAAAGATCAGTGGTGGTATGCAGTGATTTTTCTGAAAAAAATAGATTTTTTATTTCATAAAGTGTTTAACATAACAAGGTTTTGAGACGAAACTTGTCAACATAAAAATTCAAATTAACATTAAGAAGCTATTTAATGCCAAAGGGAAAAGTTTTTTTTTTTTTTGACATAACAAGGGTTTTGAGATATCAAGAGTATACTGTAATAGTAATCAGAATCAAACCTATAAACACAAATAATTTTACTAATATGTAATTATTATCTAAACAGTGCGTTAATTTTTTTTTAATGGCATATAAATAAAGACACAATGTTTTAAAGAGATACAACAGCTTCTTTTTACAAAAGGTGCATTTATAGTGCAGGCAGGTTGGGTCACTTTTCAAAAATCACTTAGGGTGCGCACTGCTATTTGTTCCTAGTCAGCAAAGTATGCATTCCAAATTTACAGTCTTGATCTACAAGTCGAAAATCAATAATATACTTTTTTTAAGCAATTGAATACCTGTATGTGATACCTGCATGGCATTTGTCAATTCAGAAGCCAATCAGGTTCGCCACACCTGTGTGAGGACAGGTATCCAATTATATCTGATTTAAATCATATGGTTAGGAATAATCACTGCACTTCTTCTCTAGTTGCAAGTACCCGATTGTCACGATTAAAAAAAATAATTGCATTACTCATGTGTATTACACTATCAGATAATACAAATGCGCCACAGTAAATATGATAAATTTCAGATAAGATATTGTTGTATTATCTAGGCATAAAGGTGTAAGTGGATGAAGGAAGCATGTAATATTTTCAAAAAAAAAAAGGACACTGATTTTATTTTTGAAAAAAAGTGCATAAAAAGCTTAAAGCTTGATTCAAGAAACTTTTCACGCTGTATATCGTGATGGATTCACACATTTGTTGATTTAAAAATTTTTCACAGCCAAATTACAAATATTGAATAAATGGTAAAATTTCTCTAGAAAAAATTATTCTGAAAAACTATTAAGTAAAAAAAGTGGCAAAGGTTAATAAAAAATATTTTTAACACTTTTAATCAAGAACTACTAAAAAATATTCAATTCCTTATCATTTATTAAAAGAAGAAACTTATAAATTCAAAGCAAGATTTTATTATCAAGGAGGTATGATATTGTACCGTTTATAAAAAATACTGGTATAACTGTCAAAATAAGGCACATTTAAATACTATAAAAAAATTGTGCTACACACCTTATTTGATTGTGCCTTCATGTTTGATCAAGGTAATTTTTACAGTTAAATCACACAAATTAAAAAATTTCAATTGAATAATTTAACAAAAATTATTAGTCAATAATAAAAAAAACATGTTTTTAATTATTCATCAAGAACTATTTTTTTAAATTGATTGCATGTTTAAAAGAAGAAAATAAAGCTTCAACTTACCGCAAAAGAATCACGATTGCTTCGCAGCTATATGGAATTTCTTCACTTTTGGAATTCTGTGGAATCAACTTCATTAATTCTGGTCTTCGGGATTTTACATGCTCCAACATTCTTTTCTCTACAGTTAAATCGGAGGTCAAATCTTGACCAGTCACCTGCAAACAAAACAGAGCATCTTTTTCAGAGCAAATCTGGTCTGCCGATTGAACACTCGAAGATTTACGAATATTTTTCTTCTTTTCGATGTCTTTAGTAGTAGACTTGTTTACTGCTGCAAGACCACTTTTGCTTCCATGTCTATCTTTGCTAGCACAATTCTTTATTGGAGAAACATCTTTGTTTTTAACTTGATTTTCTCTTTCAACATTCTCATTAGTTTCAGAAATATCTTTATTGCTTTGACTTTCCTTATTTAAGCAATTCTTAATAGTTGCAGAATCATTTTTGTTATCACATCTATCCTCACTTGCAGAAGTATACACAGACGAGATATTTTTTATCTTGTTTCTCTCTTCTCTTCCAGAATCCTTGACAGCTTTAGGAGTGTTCTTGTTGTCCTCTTTATCTTCCTTCAAATTGCTCCGAATAGTTGTGGTATTTTTATTTCCATCTTCACCACTTTCAGAATCAGAATTTCTTTGTCTCCAAGTTTGTTTCCTCTGTTTAAACCAGTCATCTAAGGAAGGGCTCTTAATTTTCTCATATCCATTAGAAGGGCTCTTAATTTTCTCATGTCCAAAAGAGGGGCTCTTAATTTTCTCATATCTATTAGAAGGGCTCTTAATTTTCTCATATCCAAAAGACGGGCTCTTAACGGTCTCATTCGAATCTTTTTCCATTGAAGAAGATTGTCGATTGTTATTCTGGAACTGAGCATGAGAATTTTTCTCTGTTCTCCAGCTATTTTGCCAACGAATTTCTGCAGCATTGTTATCTTCTTTCTTTGACAAATCCTGACTGGGAGCTTGATAGTTTTCTTGCTCAGTTTTCCTGTCGAAAACATTTTTTTCACTGTTGTTCACAGGCATGTTCAAAAGAGATTTAATTTCCGATGACATACGCTGGATATTGTCAAAACCAGTGTTTTCCTTTAGTACTGACTGTGGCTTACGAGAATTTTCTTCAATTTTTACAGTTTGTGGACCACTACGTTTAAAAGATTGAATTTCATTCATTTGTGGCTTATTAATCATATCTTTATGATCATTCAAAGAATTGAATAAATTAGAGACATTGCTTGGATGTGGATCAAAGGAATTGATGTCACTGATACATGGCCGTTTTCTAGGTACATTCTTTTCTGGAGTTGTGATTTTATTTTTTGATCTAACAACATCCATGTATTCAATTTCTTCGTCAGTCTTCATTTCAACATCCTGATTATAATCATTGTGGTCTTGGAAAGAAACTCTTTTAGTTTTCTTTAATATATTTATTTCACTCTCATTTTTCTCAGTAATAAGTTCATTCACTCGATTAAATCTAAGTGATTGATGCTCAACAGGCTGAGAAGAATGTTTTACCCAACGACCATTTACAAAACTTATTTTTTCGCAAACTGGGGATTTAGGAGAATGTTTGTTCTCCCAAACAAAATTTCTATTGGTTGCAGTTTTAGCATATACAGGATTTGTCTCACGCATTTCAGAATCGGTATTAATTTTATTTGAGGGGTATTGCTCGTCAGTGATATTTCCCCAAATTGCTTCATCGCCAACTTCATAAAAGCTAATTCTTCCGAAAGAATGAGCGTCGTTGCATTTGGAATTCTCACTGTGGACATTTCTAGTAGAGCGTCGATTACTTTGAATATCGTCAGCAGTCTCATTTTTTAAATCCCAAATAGATTCAGGACGTGGCTTTATTTTCGGAGTCTCACTCCGCTTTTTAAAATTCGAAAATGCAGCGAGATAAGCATCGTTCATGCACGATTCATTCTGTAAGATTTTATTAGTATACATGATTGTAGGAGTAAAACCTAATTAAAAGTTCTGAAATCGTTCACATTGCGATCATTTTAAAGTTCAGTAGAAAAATTCAAAGTTCCTAGTTTTAAAAAAAAAATAAACATGATAAATAATTATGTTGAACTTTAAACAATAAATAAATATATCAAGTAATGAACCTAAACATACCATTTCCAGCTTACACGATCAACCACTCTCCACTAATAAATTTCGTACTGCGGAGCGGATGAAAGAAAATAAACAGATAGCAGACGGCATCACGTTATTAAAGTTTCTGTTTGTGTCGAGAGGCGATTGGTTGATATCGATATTACGTCACTGAGCAGCCTTCATCAGAATGGGAACTCAAACTATTCCACAGACGGGGATTCTCCCTGTATTTCGATTTTTATAGTCACGCAGCGCAAATAAAAAATATTAATTTTATACTAGATAAATGTAATGAAGCAGTGATGATTTATAAATAAAGTGGTTTAAAAAATAAACGTTAGAATACTCTCTGTTTGTGATTAACGTTTCACATTTTTTAGCAGAAAGCGTTCCAAACGTTTTTTAACAGCGCCCATCCTGCTTATCTATAAAAATTGTTCCCAATTCTAGCTATTTGTTTGGCTTAGATAAAGGAAACACAAATACTTCGCAAAATTTACATTAACTACATAAAAGTTTATTGATAACTTGTTCCTGTAATTATCGAGATTTTTTCATAAATAATAAAAAACTTATAATTTACATACCGTATTAAATTTTTATATGGGAGATGTTCCTAAATGCCAAGGGTGAATGGCGCGAAAATTAACAGTGGGGAATATTTTAAATCATATTTGTAAATTAAATTCAGATCGTTGTATATAATTATCAGTATTGAAGAATTAGTATTTAGAAATAAAATTATAATCACCTAATTTAGGAATCATTAATATTTAGATAAAAAATAAAAGTTTGCTCTTTATTTAACAAAAGGTATTAAGAAACCTGTTTGATTGTCTGGAATTTTCCTTGGAGGACACTCTCTTAAGACCAATTTTCGTGAGTGAATGCACAGAGGGTTTGTATAGCTGAGACTATATATAGTATTAGAAACACCAAATTGATGATTACCTTCAGCAAAATTATTCTAATAATCAATTTGAAGCATTTTAAACAATACACATTGTGAAATTCGAATTACGGAAATTTTAAATATGCTTGAATTTTTGATCCCTAGTTTAATCTTTCAAAAAAACACGGATACTCGTACTGACTGAAAGCCTTCATCCCTTTAAAAGGTTAGCGATTTTTATTATTCAGTATGAATGAAATGGAATTATTTTAATCGTCGTTAATTATATTCCTTTCTTTATGCGAGAACTAAATTAATGTCTACACAGCTTTGTAATAACGAAGATTTATATTTTTAACAAGATATTTTCACCATGGCGGTTTTTATTATTATTTTTCTTCTATCTATTACTGAGTTCTTGCCTAAATGAGGTCAAAACTATCCCTTTTTTACAGCAAAAATACACAAATATTTTAGTATCTACAAGTGGAATGTACCCTCAGCAAGGCAAAAATTGTGATTTCAACTTCAATCATGTTAAGAAAAAAAAATTTCTTTCAAAATTGCTAATTTAGAACCTATGCATTAGATTACGTGTGAATCTGAAGTTTTTTTTTTTTCGGTTGGATTAACGATTTTTAAAAAAATATCCACCAAATTAACTTTTTTTTTTGGTAACAATAACGTTAAGCTAGGCTCGTTCTATTACAAGAAAAATTTTGCAATAGCGGTTTAAAAAAATTCTTATTCTCGAAATAGCTTCATAAAAAAAAATAAAGATTTTGGGGTGAAAAATCTCAATAAATGTTATTTCCTGAAACAAAATTTAATCAACTATCACCATTTAGGTCTAGATTTCGTTAAGGCTTTTTTTTTAATAAATTTCATGTTCCAGTAATTTGACAATTTCATAATTTTTCATATTAGTCACAGTCAACAAGACTAGTTATAGAGAAAGCATATTCTTCTAATATTAAAGCTGAATGGCTTTTTACTAGATACTCACATTTCATTATTGAACATATACACCAGCATTTTTTGGTGTTAAAGATCAAAAACTTTCGTACTACTTGCACTTCCCTTAACCCTTTCGTGCCGACTGTCACATATATGTGCCAGCAAGAAACGCGCTCACTTCCGGGCCGACACACCCGCGTGTCAGAGTTTTCTCGTTCACCCCCGACCGTCACTTATTTGTGCCAGCGTTTCGGAACGTTTTAAAAAATGAAATTTCTTCCAAAAGATGGCATTGTATGTCCATATGGTTTCAGATACATGTAAATCTGACCTTCTACTCAAGATGAAAGTACATTCACGTGGTTTTTAGGGGAAGGAGTGGAGGGGGGGGGAATGTTTTATGAGGGCTCTTTAAATTAGCACGTGATATTTATTTACAGTAAGTAAGGGAGTTTTTTTTTTTCCTCTCGCTACTTTCGATTTTCGGATTAGTTTTTAGTGGATAATTAGATCTTGTAGGCCTGAATTTTTTTTCTTTTTACAGTTAGAATGTCGAAAAATTTTAACTGAGCTGGAAGTAGAGGAAATTATGCAAAACATTTAAACTTATTAATATTTATATTACATTTAAACAAGAAATAACTTAAGTAAATAAAGTATCCATAGAAATATATATAAAGCATATGTCACTTAAATACTCTACAGAACAATATTAAACAACGCGCTGATATTTCGGTAATTTCATGGAATTAGGCTTAACATCGAAAAACCCTCCGGCCCTGGGGAGACACACGCTAGAGAGACTGCCGGCCTCAGCGGTAAGCGCGCTTTGCGTCGCGAAAGGGTTAACGCTGTTTTTCGAAGCCATAGTTCACTTGAAGCAATGCAATGATTTTAAACTAAATATCTTGCCATGAAGAATTATTTGAGCTTTAAAACAGACAAATAGCTCAAATATATTCAAAAATTTTCTCTTTCACCTAGATGAAAAAAAATCACTGCTTTTTTAGTTTTTTTTTTGCAAATTTTTATAGCCCCAGTACTGCAGCAGTGGAATAAGTTGTTAAATATTAAAAAATTTGACTACAAATGTTTCTTTATTTTCACTGTGGTTTTCATCCATATCGTTTTGTGCTTGATCTAACAGTTGCTAACTTAGTTATAAAATAGCACTTTCGCAAAAAGCGTAATTTCATATTACGACGTAGCCTTTGAAAAACAGCCTCAATGATTAAGTCTTACTATTCTAAGATCATCCATCAAGCCACAAAATTCTGCGAACCATTAATATGAATATTCCTGCATCTTACAGTCTTTAAAGATGACATTCATCAAATCTTTTCAACTTTGTGAACTACTTCTATTACTGTCCCCCCCCAAATATATACACAGTGTGGGAAAAATACCTGTTAAAAAAAAAAAAGAACTCTTCGAGCCAGTCAAAATCTGCCCTACAGGTTAAATCCTCATTAAGATAATTTAACCTCAAAAGCCATAGCCACTGAGCTTTATTTAACAGATGAGAAGAGTTCTTTAGTTGAACAGTATATAAATGACGCACCTAGAACTCTTCTGAATTCAATTGTAGCACAATTTGCTTAACTAAATAAAATACCTCTTTTGTGGCCCTCTTTGTACAATAATACTTCGCATTATAGTCATAGCATGTTGAGAACCACCAGCATCATTAGTTACTTAAAAAAAGAACTTAAACTAAAAAATTGATTGCAAGACAGAAATGAAGGTCAGCAAATATATTTATAATTTATTTCAAGAAATACATAAAGTCTATCGTTTACGACGCAACTGCAGAGTGTTTCGCCTCTTCCAGTTAGCTCGTCGAGAACCACCAATAGTTTTGGCATATTTATAACCTTTACCAAGACCACGAGACTTCTTGCCAGCTGAAGTTAATCCTCTCAATTCGCGATGTTTGTGAACAGCATTGCACAGCCAGTTAATTTTGGGATCGTTACGAATAGTGTTGTGAGCTGGATCAGCCATAATTACTTCAAAGAATTTGTAGGTAGAGTCCTGGGCAACCCAATAAGAATTGAGAACTCTGAGGGCTTTGCATCTACGACCAACACGCTCCTGAAATATAACGGACCAGTCAAAATATTTTCTAAACATGTCAATTTGAAATGATACTGAGTTATATTCTTAAAAGTAGCAGTTAGGAAAAGATCATATTGGCATAGCATCTGTTAAAGTGATTTTTCATAATAAAAAACAACAAAAACAGTCATAAAAGATAATCACCAGCAATTAAGCCTCATCACATTCTTATGGGATCAGGGTAAAGTAGATGAGAGAACTTTTAAGAAAATAAAAATATTTGACCATTGTTCATTTTTTTTTCTAAACATTGACAACACAACAACAGAAGACACTAGTGTCATAAAAATTGTTATGGAGACATAAAAATACTTGATTTACATTATCCAAAAGGTCTTACCATCCACATGCTTCATTACAAAAAATAAAGAAATTAAATAGGTATTGTATTTTATTGCCTTACAACTGCAGCAGTACCAAAGACAATAAAAGGAAAAAAAAGCATCAGTGCAAAATTAAAATTATGACACAGGTGACGCAGTAGATCTCAAAATATCTGCACGACATTAATGCTGACAAAATATCACGCTTAATTGTAAATTAACTACATAGCATCATTTATGCATTGAAGTAAAACATACTAGTAAAAACAAATCGAATAAAAATAGAAAGATATGAAGAAAAAAGCATAGACTTTCAGACAGCCAAGGGAACAAATGATTCGAATCATAAAAATCATATGTTCTTAAAATCATCATGAGCAATGCAGATAGTAAAATAAAATTCAAAATAAAATTTGAAAAAAGAAATCATCGAAAAAATAAAATAATCAAAAACACTTCAAATATGCAAAACTAGAAATTGAAATGTAGCAACAAATTCAACAAAACATTTAAAAAACCAAGATCTAACTACAGTCAAAACCCGCTATAGTGAACTCTCGGATATAGTGAACGAAACGTTCGGTCCCGTGCCTTGCTGTACATGTATAATGTAATTTTTTGTGGATATAGTGAACCAAAAAAGTGATTGAAGTTGGATATAATTAACTTTTTTCAGTCTTCGACTGATTTTTTTCTTTATTTTTTTTGTGTAATAACTTTGGAATTTCTACTTCAAAATAAATATATATACCGATGTTTAAAACCATCTATAGAGGGGAATGTAGCTAAAAGCATTTTTACTTGTTTGCTTCTTTAATCTCACTTTCCTATCCTTAAACAAACCAAGCAGATGCTTCCAACTCAAGCAGATGATGCACCTGTAAGGTGTCAATGAGATCAATATGCATTTTCTGTCAGAGGGAATGGGCAATTATTCATTATTGGTCAAAAGGGTTGGACTTTAAAAGTTCTCCATTGATGATAAAAATGGACATAATCAGAAAAATTGAAAATGGAATGAATGTTGATATTGGCAGGGAATATTAACTATCGAAATCTGCAGTTTGAGACTCATGAAAAAAACTGGCAGAATGGCAGAAAAAAGTTGAGAAAAGCAGATCAGAAGAATGTTAAAGAAGCATTACTGAAGTGGTTCACCAATCGAAGAAGCCGCAATCTTCCAGTATCTGGACAAATGTTGATGAATTTGCTAAGCGATTTTATGATTAACTTTTATGCGCTCGAATGGAAGGTTCTGAGAGTCGGGAAGTGTTTCCATATCTGATGTATAAGATTGCTCATCAGCTAAAGATTGCTAATTTTTTTGTACGCAAGGCAAAGAGTGATGAAAAATAACACTATTTTTGCTACTACATAATATATCTTTCAGTCATTAATTTGAATAATGTGTAATAAAAGGGAGTAATTTAGGAACCATTAGGTAAATTGCCTGCGTAACGGATATAGTGAACCAAAATTTCGGTCCCTTGAAGGTTCACTATATTTAACTGTATAAAGATTTCAATGTCGCAGGAAGTTAATCTAACCCTTGCAAGTCAACATCTATTATTTTAAAAATGATTCTGCACATATCAGACAGCCAAAGGAACAACGATGTTTGAATCATGAATTGTATCATAGTTATAAAATCATCATTTGAACATGCAGAACCACTAAGCCTTAGAATTATTTTATCTATGTTATCAGATGTTCAAATAGCAAGAAATGCAGAACAAAACTTAAAACAAATTTATAGGATAAAAGAACTTAGAATCAATTTGTATAATTTATATGTGACAGTTCATAAAAAATAATCACATATATTTCAATACATTTATATTAAATTATTATTTGCTGTGTCATAACATAGAAAAAAGTAGGATCTTAACTATTTATAATTATGTTGTAAAAAATCAGTTTTAACATCAAAAACCCAACTCTGACTTAAGTTTATTTTGCATACATCAGACAGCCAAGGGAACAATGAAGTTTGAATCATTTTAATCATAGCTAACAAATCATCCTTTAAATATGCAAGAGCATAAGTGCTTAAATTATATTATTTATGCTAACAAGCATCCAAAAAAACAAATGCAAGCAAGCAAAATGGATTATGAAATATCATTAACTGTAATTACCAAATAAGCAAATAACTTTATTCTACCTTTCTTATTAAAAAAATATATACTCTCACATAGTGACTAACAGTTTACAATCTTAATCAAAAACCTTTATTTAATAACATACATTGTAAAAGAAAATTCAGAATCCCTTTTCAAGCAGGAATTATGACAAGATCTTAATTTGCATATAATATCAGACAGCCAAGGGAACAATGAGGTTTAGATCATAATTAACATCATAATTATCAAATCATCCTTTAAAATATGCAGAGACTTTTTACATAAAACTAGTTAACATCATCAGACATCTAAGGAAGTTAAAATAATCAGTGAAATCATTTATGAAATAATGTCATCATTATGTCTTATATATTCTAATATAATCACTGTTTAAGCATAAATACTGAACCAAATTAAATTTTACACCATCCATAATTTTTCTTCATAAAAAAAAAATTCTCACATTTAAAATAGTTCTTATTGGCATGACACAAAACTACTACAGTACCTTTGCAAACAATTAGTATTTTTCCACAGACTGATGAGTAGAAGAAAATGCCAGCTCCATGGCTAGCTTTGTTTTTAAATAATATGTTTTGAATCTTGCGTTTGCTGCAAGATTATTTCGCACAAGAACGTGCTAAACTGTACTTATACCCCGGTACGCGTACCACACTTTGGGAAACACTGAGTTAGATGCAAGATTTGTTCTCACAAGCAATTTTAAACTTCTGTATCAGAATGAAATATAAGGTGTATTGTATTTGTCTCTGGAACTCTGTCACTGTTTTCTTCCTTATATCTTTTGCATGTTCTTTTTAATTAATATTTTTCCAAAAGAATCTTATTCTTCAACTCTTATTAGTGTTTTTAGCTTTTATTTAATTGTCAAACTTTTTAGGGGTTTCTTTTTGTTACTCCTTTTGAATTGGTAAGAGCACATCAAAGACAAAAAACTGGACCTTGCTTCCCTTATTTCCTTTTTATCACCCAGTAATTAAACAATCTACTCCTTTCTGCTTAAGAAATAAAATCATACATTTTACACAGCTCAAATGCTGCAAAAGTTGCTACTTGTACAGCTCTACTCATTAGGCTCTTGTAGCTTAAAGTGAGCTATGGACATCTATATCGGTTATCTTTTCTGAAAAAACTTTTTTTTTAAGTCTCTAATCTGCATAGAATGGAGGCCTATGATTGAGAATTAAGCTTTAAGAAAAAAACACTGGCAGGAAAGTTATTTTTATATTCAGAATAAAGATTTTTCTGTAATTCACAAAAGAAATCCAACATAATATCATCTGTACACTATCTGATCAGACATCCAAGGAAGTTCAAATAATCATTTAAATCATTAATGAAAATAATGTCATCATAGCCATTACTTATACAGATCCTATCTATAATTCAAATTAAAAAGTTTCATCCAATCACGGTATTGTAAGTTTATCAACCTTATATTTTTGCATGAAAAACTTGCATCAGACATCCAAGGAAGTTCAAGAATCATGAAATATCATTTAACTATAGAATATCATCAGGGCAAGTAATTCTGATATAAAAAATCAATTATTTACTAAGCATTACCTTATCAGACATCCAAGGAAGTTAAAGAATCATAAAATTTCAACATAAAAATTAATATTAACAAACAAATAAATTTCATAATATATTTGTTAAATATTTATTGATCAATATATCGATCCTTCAAAATCAGAAATTAAAGAAATTTAATAAAGTATAAATTCATTATATTATTCATAGAAAAATGCATTTACAATATTTGCACATAATTTAAAGAATGCAACAGAACAAACTTAGATTAATAATAATCAAATGACACAATGATAAAATATCTTATCAGACATCCAAGGAAGAAGAAAAATCATTTTATATCATTTTCATAATTAAGTCATCACATAAAAATTAAGCAAGTTTCCATTTAAAACAAAGCAGTAATTCAGAAATAATTAAAAAATAAATACATAGGATGAGGCAGGGTCAAGTGAGTATATGATAAGACATGCTTATCTCCTATATATGCTTTTCTCTATAAAATAAGATAATTTGATTACTTTTTTTGACATTTACTGGGATGCAAGAAGCATTTTTATTTTTGATTATTTCAACTCATTCATTTAATTTCAAAACAGCACTGAAATCTTTATTCAGTTATTAATATTGAAATATAAGGTTCAATTATATAAGTGATGGGCGTATACATACATAAATTAAATTAGAATATTGAACACTTTAAATGTATTCTCAGACATGTGATGGAAGAAATTTTTTTTAGTACATAGAAGATAAATAAAAGACTTATTTTAAAACATAAAAGTGAGAGAAAAAAATATCAAACTAACTCTTTCTCATCAACACACAAAACATAGAAATTGATATTACATTTTCCTCCTTCTTTGTAATTAGCCATCATCACATAAAAATAAAAAGACTGAACAGTGCCAACCCACAGCAATAAAACGAAAAAAGATTGATATTAAACCAACATGTATTCACAATAAAATCGTGTGAATTGGAAGTGCCAAAAAGGGTTGATTAATTGTACTATTTGAAATGCACACTTTGTATTGAATATTAACTTATCAAAAATATTAAGATTTTTGGTAAATAAAAGGAAAAATCAGTAGCAATAACTGCTGAATATTTGATTGAAACAATTACCACGTTTAATAGTGAATTTTCAGGCATGCAATTTTTCCTGTATTACGCTATTTTAAAAAAAGCAACAATAACTGCAAATAAAATTGAATGTCAAAAGCAATTACACAAATATGTATTTCAAATTTCCTTTCTCCAAATAATGAAAACATCAGGATTTAAGAAAATCACATAGATATCAGTAGCAATAACTGAAAAAATTGCTTGGTGCTATCGTGTTGCGAAATATTGACTAATAAACATTTGAACTTAATTTTGTGTGTCATAATAATGCATAAATATAATAGATATTTATAAAAAAACACCAAAAAAATTTGAAGCAACACTAGCCTTTATAACGATGGAAATGGCTCATGGATTTACAATGGTATATACTAATATCAAAAATTGTGGTGAATGGTATTCAATGAAATTTTAAAAACCATGAGAAATTCAATTGCATTAACTGTAAAAGAGGGAACAGGAACTTACAATGACATTGAGAGTGGGGAAAATTATACTGAAATATGCAATGCAAATTTTTCTTATAATGTTTAAAAAATTAATTCAATATAATTAATTGAATCAAAATAAAAAACTAAACCATTTATTTCCAGCAAACGGTCTTTTAAATGTCTTGTTCTGTATTTCTCTAACAAATCTACGTAAAAAAAATTTTTTTTTTGCATGTGAATAAGGACTGAAAAAAGAATGCTGATATGGGTAATAGGACTGGGCTTTATACCGATGTAAAACAATATATCGATTTAACTCCAACATCGTAATACCGATTTATCCATTTCATTTTCAACAAAATTCCGGAGTGAGCATTTCGACTCTACTAAATCGATTTATTCATGAGAGCAAACGCTAAATCGACGTAGCTCTCTCCGATGTAGTGAAACACCGGTTTAATCATTGCGAGAATGTACAGAACAGATTCCGATCTGCCGTAGCGTAAGGGAAAGATTCAAGGCCAACTATCAACTCATTCTCCCGGTAACACGTGCGCTCAAGTTCTTCGGCTATTTGCCAAAATCACATCTGGTGCAGGGGTTGGTATAGTTAAATCGGAATGGGTTATTGAATCTCTTCATTCAAAACTAATTCACTAGGTTATATCGATACATGGCGGTTGGAAAAAAAATCCGATATAGCAGGGATCGGTGCAGTTGAATCTCCTCATTCCGATTTCAAGTTTATATCGATATTTGCGGATGATTTTTTGCCACCAAGTGAATGTGATTGTCTTCTCTTTAGAATTTAGATTTCGATTTTAGGATATCTTGTTCGTGCAGGAGGGAATATTCCCATCTTTAATTTAATATATCCTGATTTCTGAAATAGTTAAGTGTTATATTTTTTCTCCTCTTTTGCATTGAGAATTTTGTTTCTAAACTAATCATTTTCAACTATTTAAAGAAATTTCTTACAAATATAGCTTTAAAAAATTAATATTTCTCAAATATTATATATAAAATCCTTATTAAAAATATTTATTATATAATTGAGAGATTTATCTTTTATGGCACATGAATTACGGGGTAATTTTTGTATCGATCGCTACCTGCTTGCTCGCACAAACTGAAAACGCCAAATAAAATTGGTGTTTTGATTTACTTAAAATAAATTGTTAAAAAATATTTCGTGACTTGCCCGGAAGGAGTTAACGAGTTTCACCTTTCGAATTAAACTCTTCCTGTGATGTTTTTATGTATTATCATTTTGCAGTGTCTCCCGTGTGTAATACTCGTATAAAATTTAGAGATTTGTCTTTTTTAAGGTACATGCATTACGGAGTTTCTTTCCGTAATATCTTTAAATATCTTACCGGGGTTTCTTTCAGCGTGTATGCTACATTAATTCTTTCGGTACCGTTCGGTTTCTGTTTGCTCGCGCTAACTGAAGTCGCTAAATAAAATTGGTGTTTTGTTTTAATTGGAATAAATTGTAAAAAAACGTTTAGGAAATTTACTAATTTTATCTTTCTTAACTGCCTTTTTTTGTGATCTTTTTATTTATTATTATTCTTTTTCGTTAATTTCTCGCGTGTTTTTTATAAATGTTGGGAGATTTATCTTTTTATGGCGCATTACGGGGCTATTTCCATATCGTTTGGAAATAGGCCCATAATGCATGCGCAGTTAAAAGATTTCACCTTTCGAATAAGACGTGTATCGTGATGTTTTTTTTTTTTTTTAAAATTTATTATTGTTTTTTTTGTAGTTTCTCGCGTGCATAATATTAAGTTTAGAGATTTATCTTTTTAAGGCACGTGCATTACGGGTCTATTTTCATATTGTTCAGTACCTGTTTTGTTGCGTCAACTGAAATTGCAGTCTTGTTTTACTTGGAATCAATTGTAAAAAAATATTAAAAGGGGAAGTTAACGAGTTTTAACTTTCAAATTAGCCTTTTTTTGTGGTGTTGCAGAAGTTAAGAAAAAAACAACAATACATTTGAATAGAGGAAGGGGTACTGTGGATTTATTTCTTAGTTTTGTCGTTTAGATTGTTAAATCGATATAACCTAATATCGTGATATAAAAGGGTTGATTATATCTATTTAAGAAATTTCTATATCGTCCAGCCCTAATGGGTAAAATAAATATTTTATCCACAAAATTTTGCAGATATAACAGAAAATTCAGTGGGAACATAAATTGTTTCATTGGCAGAACAGTCTAGATATTTGTGTAAATAGCGAAAGAACTTCACGCCTGATTTTGTAGACATGGTACACACTTTAGAAAACATGGTACTAGCACTATAAAAGTACTAGTAAAAACTAATATCATTGTATATAAGCTGTTTCATAATTGTATAGAATTGATTCTTACCTCTGCTACAGCTTGGTGACTCCTCACTGGTTTCAATTGATTAACACCATGGTTCTTGGGTTTACCATATGTGCATCCCTTGGGAACTTGCTTCTTTCGACCTCCTCTACGAATTCTAATTCGATAGACAACATAACCTAGAAGATAAAGAATATACTATTTAATTCTAGTAAAAGCAAACTCCACATGAATAAGATAAAAGCATTCAAATATCCTTCAGCTAAGAGAACTTATAAATGGTTCATAAAAAAATAAAAATATTAAATCATTTAGATGTGATCTTAGGTAACTGCTATCAAATTAACATAAAACACTGCTTATGATAAAACTAGCTCAGCAAATAAAAAGCTGAAATGTAACTCAGAATAAAAGCCATAATCATTTTACTCAGGTGGCACTTTCTATCAAATAGGCTCATCATACAAAATAGAAAAATACCTGTTACAAACTAAATACCATATATAATTGCTATTAATATTTAAACACTATAAATACAAAATATTAATATCTCAAATAGCTGTAACATATATATAAAATAAGAAATAAAGAGAAAAGTTGTCATTAAAAATAAAACAAATATCAGAGTGAAAGTCATAATCATTTAATTCAGATGGCACTTTCTATCAAATAGGCTCATCACAAAAATTGAACAGTTGAAAATTACACATCATGAAACAGTACAGATCAGGGTTGACAGATGGATTAATCCATGGTTTAACCCGTCCTGTCCAAAACCCTTTTACTCAAATTACGCTACAATTTTATTTGAACAATATTTAAAAGGTAAAATAAACATAGAACTAATAACATATTGATAATTAAATATACTAAAGAATATTTGTTTTTAAAAGTATATTTAATAAATTTTGTTTGACTCTTCAACTTAAGCATTAAACACAAGATTAATCAAAAATCAAGTTCCTCGCATTCAATAGTACATAACTGAAGTTTGACCTTGCCATACAGGTTAAGCTATTAGGGACTAAGTGCTTGGTTAGTCATAAACTGGTTTATTTATCTATAGTACTATTCAAGAATACTTTTATTTCATTCGTGTTTAATTCTTTTAGTATAGTAGTGATACATTATTACCAGTGTCAGTAACTGAAACTGATGTTATGCCCTTCAAAACTGTTAATACATTTTTCAGTTATTTTGTATTTCCAATTTAAACTAATATATTTGTATTTAAAAACAATTTTTTTTTAAAAAAAATAGATGTCTTTTTTATCATCCTGTGATTATAACATTTAAAAAAAAAAATATTGTGAAGAATAAAAGGTTAATTTTTCAACAAATTTAGATTTTTTTTAAAAAAATTATTAATATCTTTTAATATTGCATTATTTATCCTTATGCAAAAACATTATTTATCAGTATTAAAAGCATATATGTATTTAAAGGATTAGACAGTTTTATCCAGATTAGGACAGTTTTATCCAGTTTAAGACAGTAAAACCCACGTGTCCTGTCCAAAACCAGTTTAGGATGTCCAAAACCCCAACCCTGGTACAGATTGAATTAAAATTGTGTTTATTGACTATTTGAAACAAAACCAGAACTTTCACAAAAGAAATAAAAAAGCATTTAATAAGATTCCAAACAAGGACATATTTACAAAAACCAGAAAAATACAGTAGAGTCCTGATTATCCGAGTTAATGTGGACCACGACTAATCGGATAACTGAAAAACTCAGTTAAAACGAAGAGTATAAAAAAGAAAGATAAAGAGTTGGTATAAATGTAACATATTAAAGAAATATAAAATTTATACGCCATCTTTTAGGGATAACAGGAAGGCTGGTGTCGCTTCTTTTTGTTGTTCTATGTATTCAGTAGCATTTTCGACAGTTTTAAGTTCATCTGTGTGAGAAATTTTTATATGTTGATTTTCCTAGTCACTGTCTTAATCTTCTTCGCTAGGTTCATTTTCATTATTGACGATATTAACGATCATTCCATGGGATCAAGTTGTAAGATTTTGTTTTCCCGATTGTTTGGAAGATAAAATTTAGATTTATTTTTCGGCAGTATTTTTAAAAATAAAAAATAAAGTAGAACAAAAAAATCCTTAAAATATTTGATAGCTCGGTTAAAGCGGAAACTCGGATAACCGGGGCTCGGATTATCGGGATTCGACTGTAATTGTTTCATGGTTGGGAAACTTGAAATCATTAATACTTCAAGTACTATGATAATGATTTTGATATAGGCTAAAATATATTTGTTATAGAAATAAGAGAATAACAAAAACAATAATTTTAGCCATAACTTTCAAATAATTTCACAGTAAAAATTTAACATTTAATTATGTGCAAAAGAAAAATGTTAAACTATTTCAGCAAAATAGCTACTAAATGCAAATAAAAATATATTAAAAAGTGAACACAAAAATCTAATACTGGTTAATACCCGGGGTAATTCACAATCACTCTGTTTCTGGGGTAAATAATGATCACCTAAGTTTTATTTGAAAAAAAAAAAAAAATTGATTATAGGAAACTAAATCAAATGTTGCCCCCTTAAAGAGGGGGTAATTATTGATCAATGGGGTAATTCCTGATCATTGTCATTTCTTTTTATAAATAGTATTAAAAATAGCTGATTGTCTTTTCTTAAATAACAGTTCATATTTACTAAGCGGAACAACTATAAAATATATTTTAAATGTAATCACAAAATCTGTTTTTAACTGTATACAAGACAAATGTGCTCTGATCTGCACCATTTCTGGTTTGTCTTACCTTGCTTCTATCTTAATTTTATGTGTGTACATTGTTAGAATAATTTTTAAGTTTATAAATTAGCCAAATATAAATATGGTGAGAAATTATAAGCCTAAAAATGAAACTAAGCCTCTAGAGAGCAAGATGAGTTAATTTTTTTTTATGATTGAAAATTTTAGTGTGAGAGCTGTTGACATACCTTACTTAACTTTACATTCTCACTTAATGAAGTTACAAAATCCAGCAAAAGAAACCCATGTGTGAACTCTTTCTTATGTTTCAGCAGAACATGAGAATGAGTTGGCTGCTTGCCTAAAATGTATGACATGATGCAAAGATTTTTGGAAAATTTAAAGTGTTAATCTTTACTCTTGTTTTTTAAATAAATCATTTTATTAGCTCCTTAAACATATCTTTTTGATTTAGTTGTTTGATCTTGATGCCTTATTTGTCAATTACCATTGTATAATTATTTTAAAACAGCTCCTTTACTATAAAAACTGGTGATCAGTAATTATCCCAGAAGTGATCAGGAATTACCCCAGAAATGATCAAGAGAAGGGGTAATTCCTGATCACTAAAAATTTAAAATCTTTTAAATTCTAATTAGATTTTCAAACAAAAAAGGATAGCATAGGACTCATCTCATATAGCCTCAAACTTCCAGTAAATATTAAAATTCTATCTTGAATAGTTTTCTCACAAAATAGATGTTTGCATTTTTTGATCAGAAATTACCCCAGGTCACCTTATATATTAAAATTTGTTTAAAAACTTAACTTCATAATATTAGAAATACTTACAGAAACAGAAAAAGCCCTATACTAGTAATAAATCAAACCAAGATCTAATTGTTTCATGGTTGGGAAACTTGAAATTAAAGTGCACTTCAAGTACTATGATAATGATTTTAATATAGGCTAAAATATTACTGTTATAGAAAACAACTCCATAACAAATATATAATTTAGCCATATATATTTCTGAGCTATCTATTTCATTGAATTGTACAGTCAACCCAAGAACATAATACTAAGTTGACCATTAAGGTAAATAGATAATTATGACTCATTTAAACAACTTAGGTTAGAGGGGTTCATAATAGAGATTTCTCTGTAGCCCTCACACAATTAAGAAACTACGGAACACAAAAAACTTAACTGTATAAAATATATAAAAATTATAGCACTGGAAAGAATATTGTTATACAGAATTAAACCTTTACTTTTATACACAACAAACATTTTTCCCATAAATTATAATCAGTTTCACATGGTTAAAAAATTTTTTCCCTAACATATAAACAAAAGAATAATTATTTAAAGAACATAAAAATCATTTGTTTTATGTTAATAAAACTTGATATAATGTTAATTTCTAGAACGTAAGGTAGATAAAAATAAATCCTTGATAGGAAAGAAGTAAGCGAATTTAATTTAAACTTAGCTTGCAGAGATGCCAACTTGCTCCACTTTGCAAAATAGTATTTTCTAATGGTAACGAAATTTAAGTTACTTTTGGTTTAATATTTTTCATTTTCAGCAATTTTTACACCACTAACTATCAAAAATTATAAGTATCATATAAAATGCAACGTTAAAGCACCAATCCACTGCAGGGGTCTGTCCAGACATTTTGTGAAAGGTCCGTTTTTGTAAAATTGTGAAAAAAATGACTCATAATGTGTGAATATAAAATAAACGTTAAGTCGCATTCTTTCAACCAGGGTCCCGCTTTTGTGAATGTGTGCAAATAGGGTCCATTATTACAAAAAAACTTTTTCAATTAGTTTTTAAATTGTTAAGACATACAAGATTATGCTCAACACTGTAAAATAAAAATTAAAAAAATTAAATTTTCAAAAATAAACAGCCATTGCAGCTACTAAATTAGCGATGCAACATATAAATATTTGGTATTTAGCCTATACTGCTGAACACAGAATATTCATTTCGGAGGAATAAAGGAAGCGTCTGACGAAGACAAAATTTAGTTCGTTTACATCTTTCTTTCTTTCCCTACCCCCTTCCTGAGAAGGGTTTATTCGATTAACAAAACAATAATGAAGTTAAAAAATTAGTGAAGGGTCCGATTTAGAGATAAATTATTTTGTGAAGGGTCCGTTTCAAAGTTAAAATATTTTGTGAATGGTTCGTTTTTATGAAAAGATATTTTGTGAAGGGTCCGTTAACGGACCCAAATTTCTTCTAAACAGATCCCTGCACTGTGTACTCTATTAAAAAGTAGGCGTAACTATCCTTCTTTAACAGATTTTACTATATAATTTGATACCATTTCATTAAAACTATTGCAGAAAGCGGAGCAGTTGGCATCCCTGAGCTTGTATAGTTTAATAAATATATAAAATCTAAGTAAAATATAATTGAATATAATTATTCAACACCACTTTTTACCTTGTTTTGCTCGGTATCCTAATCTTCTAGCCTTATCTGGCCTCGTTGGTCTTGGAGCTCTATGTACAGCATTCAGTTGTCGGAAGTACCAGCACCTTGTTCTCAATAAAAACTTCAATACATCAGACTGTTTCTTTCTCCAGATCTCTTGCATATATTTATACGCCCCCATGTTTAGTTTAAAGGACCCCTACCTAAATATTTAAAAAACATTACAAAACGTTTATATTTTGTTGGTACGAGGTACAAAAATGGAAGAAAAGTTTAGATACTAGATTGCATATAAGCAAGGAAATTTAATATAACAAGCCTTCAGGGAAAATCATTGGGTAATCAATTCATTGAATGTAAATTAGATTAATATTAAATAAACTTAAAAATAAATTAAAATAATTGGAAATTCGTTAAACACAACTTACTAAGGCAATGATAAAGCTTGTATACTAATATATATCAATCACTGTAGAGACAATGTTTGAAAATTAAAGTAATTAATTTTGCACCATTTGCGACTGATAATAAACATAACATTATCAGCTATTAGTAGGTGCAACAAAAAATTTGATACGAACACACTAGTTCCACTTGAAAGAAAATAAGTTTTTAAACTGAAATAATATTACTTTGTANATTATAATTATTTATGAAGCTTGCTTAAAATATTAAAAAAAAAAAATAGCATAAATCAATTCATTAAATGCAAATTAGATTAATATTAAATAAACCTAAATATAAATTAAAATAATTGGAATCATTAGTAATTGTTAATCACAATTTACTAAGGCAATCATAAAGCTTGTATACTAATATAGATCAATCAATGTAGAGACAATGTTTGAATATTAAAGTAATTATTAATTTTGCACCATTTGCGACTGATAATAAACATAACATTATCAGCTATTAGTAGGTGCAACAAAAAATTTGATACGAACACATAGTATCACTTGCAAGAAAATAGGTTTTTAAACTTAAATAATATTACTTAGTAACTTTTACCTTAAAGCAAACCTATATAACAAGTAATAAATCTGGGATGAGAGTAATAAGAAAGCAAAAGAGGAAATCTGAGAATGAATATATATATATATAAATATATCATATGTAAAAGCTACAATATCCTAAGTTTTGACGAAAAAAAAAGTCTGATGTTTAAACTACGTCAACGTTTTCACTACAGCGCAAGAATCTCTCATGTTTTTCTTCTTCTCTAGCATTGAAAAATTATTAACGTGAGAAGTTTGGGCACTCTATTAATCAATTTTAAAAAGCGGGAATCTCTCGAATTTTTAAAATGATATGAAATTAGCTACGACAAGTGTTGAGAAAAAAAAAATGAGTCCCTTATAATAAAATAAGTTGCTTAAAGTTAGTTCTATTTTTAGCTGTTAATGAATTACCCAACTCCCTCATCAGCAATTTGTAAAAGTTGAAGTCTGTGAAAACTATGCTGAAAGACCTAACCAGAAGTATGAACATGGAAATAACTTCAACTAACTTCACTATTCTATAATAGAAATAAATGAAAATCCTATGATGGCATATGTAGAGGATAAGACAGTGTGTGCACAATGCTACAAATGTAATTAGCATCTGTTGCATGGTCATTTAGCACCCAAAACCAATTAAAACAAAATATCTCAACAGATTGACTGATGAGCATTGGAGCAACCTAATTTTAAGTCCATTTGTGCTTTTTTAATTTTTAGAAGTCTCACTTAACTTTTTGAGATAAGAGTGAGAAATTCTCTCCCATTTTTTTTCTGTAATGAAAACACTGCATGTGATCATAAATCCTGATGATTGTTTTTAAAATTGTATGAATGTGAATTACATGCATGGTTTTAAATTGAGAGAATATGAATACAGAGATTTGGTTTTTAAATCACATGAATACGAAACTCCATATCAAATTAATAAAATGCAAAAATACAAATCATGATGCATTTTTTAAACGTGTGAATACCAATCACAATGGCTAATTTTAAAATGATGTATAAATACGAAAATCGCAGTTTGATATTACAACAGCATTAACGAATCACAACATTGGATTTTCAACTCTAATATGTGAATTCGAATCTCTACATACGGTTTTAAAGATGTGTAAATACATATTGCGATTATGGATTCTTACATGTCGTAAATAAGAATATCAATGCGCATCTTTTAAATCAGGTAAATACGAAATCTGATGTTTGATATTAAAATCGTGTGATATAAGAATTGACATATAAGGAGGTCCTGGACTTGGGATTCCTAAAAAGCTTGTTCGTATTGCTTTCGTTTCTCCACAATAAATAAAAATTTACAAGATTATTTACCTGAGCAAATAAACATTTCCGCTGCAACTTCCGAAGCAGCAACATCTGTATTACGAAAAATCTTATTTTCTGTGCGTTAACGCGGAGAAAATAGTTAAAATAAGTAAAAAATGCGAAAGGGTTCGCAAATTCGTTAGAATTATCGGTTTATCTTTGAAAATCAGAAAGAAATATATTTTGCCTGAATACATAAATAAATATATACGTCTGAATTTTCAGGAAAATCGGGATATTTATTAGAAAATACCGAAACTTTTAGAGTATCGGATTTTTTGATAATATGAAGGCTGAAACTTAAGAGACAAAAGCGTAAAACCGGTAAAATACGAGGGAAAATCTTATTCCTGAGAAACAGAACATGTAAAATAATTAACATATAACGAACTATAGCAACAATATGAATTAGAAAAATTGCTAAGTGTAGTCTTATAGCATATGTCTATCACTATTTCAAATTTTGACATTTTTAAAAGTGATATTATAAAAAAAGAACATGAACAGAGAGTAGAATGCATAAATACAGAAACCCAGAACTGATAAATTTATATTAATAAAATCACGAAGATAATGTACTAATGCAATAAGAAAACATCGAAAATATACAATGTTTGATTTATGAGCAGTAAAATTAATATCGTACTATTTGCGACTGATAATAAATTATTAACTATCAGCTATTAGTTAGTACAGAAACTTTGCTATTAATAATAAACTTTAAATACGAAGTTTAAGCACTGTTACAAATCAGGTGTAATGACAAATGGTGGCAAAATATTCTAATACTTTAAAATGATATTTTGACATTAAGTGCTTAAAATTACGTATCCGACACACTAATAAGGCTTTTAAGAACTATCTCAATAATCTTTCATTAGTAATAAGAAATCATATAATACAGATTAAGAAAGATTTTAACTTACCCGATGAATTACTATTAATGTTTATAAAATAGTAAAGGTGCGCGGATATTAGGGCTGCGCGTTTATTTTATGTTAAGTTGAGTTGATTTGAGTAGCAGCAGGTCGGATTTAGTTTTAAACCATAGTTTTTAAAACAGAATGGCAACAAGAACATGAAGAAAATTCCGTGCTGCATTGTGATTGGCTGTTGAATTGTGATTGACATTGTGATTGGCTGTTGAATATCATTCTTGGTTGCGAGAATTTGGATTTAACAATTGATTTATTGATGGATTGATTGATTTATTTATCGTGTTTTGATTTATTTTGTAAACAACCACTAAAAAAGAGGAGATTTGTGCTTAAAAAATGAAATCAGGGTAAAAAAAGGTCTTCAAATTTTTAGATATTTGAAAATGTAACAATAAATATTTATGTTTTCTTTGCTATGTTTATTATTTGTTATTAAATAAAATTATATCATTTTTATATTAGGAATTACATATTATTTGTATTCTATTCATTAATGATCATAAAAAGAAGTGTATTTTAAAAGGTATAAAACATTTTATATCATGTTTAATATCATAATTTTGAAGAGTTAAAGAGACTTCTAGTAATTACAAGAAGTTAAAAAATGGTGTTTTTAAATTTTAGCTATTAAAAAGCTTATTAAAATTTTTAATTTTGACTGTCAAATTTACCAAATTAAATTATTAAGTATTCTCTTATAAAACCTTAGGTGCAATATTTATATAATATTCTTACGGTCTGTGGTAAGAAAAAGGAAATTTGGATTTTAATTAAAAATAATATTTATATCAAGTAAAGTCTAATTATCCTATGTATATTTCCTTACCTTTGTTACTTAATTATTAAGCATTGTAATTGTAACATGGAAGATCATTCTGCAGTGAAGTTTGATGTTTAAGTGATTGTATAATATGTTAATTCTTCATTGAATGTGTTTCTACTTATAACATTTTATAAATGAATCTGTAACTTGCGGTTTTAATAACATGCGTTGAAAAGTTAATAAAACTATGGCAACAGTTTGCTTTCAAAAAAATATCTATCGATAAATTTTTATGTGGCCATCAATTATCATTTATTTATTTGGAAATAATGAATAGAAATAATATATTTGTCAATCTAAGCACATTATGATAAACAATAACATTGAAATAATAAAAATTCATGTTACAGAAAATTTATTTTCGAATAGTTGAATACTCACTTTTATGAGGATAATTAGATATTTGATTACAGATTATTTACCACTGCATTTTAAAAGTTATGTCAAGTGACAAGTATATATACTGGATGATTCTAAAAAGATGGGCAAAATTTTAGGAAGTGATAGTACACACCCAAGCAAACAATTTTTATCAAAGAATGCATGGTCAAAAACAAAACGCAAAGGTGCTGGCACATTTGGAAAGTTGTGAAATGCAAACATGAAAGCTCAATTCCTGTTGCGAGTTACTGCGCTGCGTTACTTGTCGCCAAGCTTTCGACCGCTGAAGGGAAAGTTCGTGATATATGCCTGGTGTGTTTCAGAATGTTCGCCTATCTTTTCTTCGCCGCTGCCGGCCACTGTTTTGAACACTTATTGTAATCACATGCCATTAAATTTGACTTAACTTCATCGTTCTTTGTGTGTTTTTGCCTCATGTAAGAACATAAACTTTGATGCCCACTAGCGGTTTTGCATTTTGTTTTTGATCATGCATTCTTTGATAAAAATTGTTTGCTTGGGTGTGTACTATCACTTCCTAAAATTTTGCCCATCTTTTTAGAATCACTTTTTAGAATATATATCTATATATTTTTTAACTTGCCACTGCTTTATTAGAAAAAAAAATTATTTAAGTATATAAAACTATATATTTGGAGCATACAAGAGTAAAATTCTTGATTTTGAAATTATCTTTGATTTAGAAATTATCAATCAAAAAGATTCCTTAAAATTTTAATTATATTTATATAATAAGTTGAAGGAAATATTAGGAAAGGAAAAAATTTTTAAATAGTCATTCCTTGTCAAATCGATTACTTTTGGACCCACCCCTCTGCAATTTTAGTGAAATTTGGGGGAACAAACACAATTTTTAGGTTGAAAACTGTCCAAGTTATAGCCATTTGAAAAAATGCATCTTTCATTAAAAAAAAAAAAACACAAACTTGCATCAGAAAAAAACTTGCATCGTACACCATTGCGAAGCTAAGAAATATACCTTTCATTTGATACCTCATATGTCCTTCTGAGGCTAGGTCAACTTTCAAAGCAACCTGATTTGGCTTTTGACCTGAAATATGTGGTCTCAAAAAATTACTAAAAAATATTTTTTTTTACTGCAACATTTGTCTACACATTTACAAATTTGTAGCATGAAAATAGAAATTTTTTAAAAATAATATTAATTATTGCAAACCAAAATTTTTATTAATGGAAGGCGATCTGCTGTACAACTTTTTTTCCCCTCTAAGACATTTGACACAATATGCATGAAAAAGTAATTAAAAAGCCTAAAATTCTTAAACCAATATATATATCAAAGATCATTCATATCAAAAATATTATTTATCCCATACTTTTGGCTCCTTAAAATGTATCTAAAATAACAATTTTATTTTTAGCAAGTGTACTATATTTTTTTTAATTAAAAAATGGTGTATACCTTTAAATATGGAAAAAAAAGTTTAATTAGTTACAAGATATGAATAACATTTATTTCATAGAAAATATTTTATAAGACTTAAAGGAAAAATTATGTTTATTAACTCTGTAACAATATGTTATAAACAGAATTAGTAATTAATTAAAAATATAAATATCATAAAATTTAATGAATAGTTATCTTTGTGATTACTATTTTTATCTCATTCGGCAGTATGAAATAATCCTGACCTGTATGTGCATCAACCTTCTAACTGATGTGTGTTTTATTCACTTTCTAGATTAAAGGCTTCTGTGGGCATGAGTATGACAGCGAGGGTCCATGAGGCTGTAGAAAACTTACTTTAACTTCTTTGTAGTTTATATTTACATCTAAAATATATCGTACTCACTATTGCCTGTCCTTCAAAATAACAACATACCCTCGAATATCTTTTAAGGGCAGTTCTAAAGGATTTAACAACACTTATTTACTGGTTTCAGACAATGAATATTTTGTGTACCAGGGATTGTGCAAGCATTTCTGTGTGGCTTTTAAAAAAAATGTCTATGTGATTTTATAGTACACAAAATTTGTTTATTGATAACAATATTAAAAAGTTTTAGTAATTTACTTTAATTTTTATTGAATTAAAGTTTGTTTGTTTGTTTTTTTTTTTTTTTTTTTTTTTTTTTTTTTTTTTTTTTTTNTTTTTTTTTTTTTGTAGGATTGTTTTGCGTTGAATGAATATCTAATTTGAATTGGTCTAAATGTTGCTGGCATAAATTTCTTTTTTTTTAAGTTCTAGGTAAATGCTGAAACATAAAGGGAAAAAAAATTTACTGTACAACTACATCTTTTTTAAGTTAAAAGGGCATTTATTTTTTTTATTTCTTTATGCTTTGTTTAGAAACATGAAAAAGACCAAAGAACATCTTAAGGAATTGTGCACCTCATTTCAAATCAGCTTAAATAAATAGAATTAAATTGTTTATTCATTATTATTTGAATTAACAGTATTTGTTTATGCTTACATGGTTAATGCTTCTTTATAGCCTAAAATAATAATGTGTTGTTTTGTAATCAAATGGAGAAGTGTATTATTTCTTCTCAGTCCAAATCAACTTTAGTTTAAATGGTAATAAAAAGTATATTAAATTATTAACCATTTATGTTAATGTACTCAAGTGTCTCAAAGTTTGGTATGAAATAATAGCTAATACTAAAAAAGGAGCTGTTTTTGTACATTTTCTTAAAAAAAGCTACAAGTAAAGTTTTATTTTTGCTTATTTTATAATAATAAATTATCCTTTCATACTATTAAAAAGGAGTATATTTGGACACAGAATTTTATACAAAAAAATATATGAAACATAACTTTAATCGATACACTCACAAGCACTTATAATAAAAAATTAACAAGTACAAAAGAGACAATTGAAACAAAACAAAATTTAAAATAATATTTTTATAAAGTGAATCTTTTACTCGTGGGATAGATCATCTTCACTAGGGGTGCACAACCTACGGCCCGCGAGCCACATACAAACAAAATGAAAAAAAAAAAAAAAAATTTTCTTGAGTAATTAAAAAAACTCCAAAATTTGAAATTAAATAGTTTTTGAGACATTCAATCTCAATCATTCTGGTTCTTCGATTGCTTTTTTTTCATCATTTTTAATTTTAATAGTTTTAATTTTAATAATTTTTAACCCTCATAAACTTTCTTTAAATCAAAGTTTTTAGCTTTAATTTATTTTAATAACTAGAATATTTATTTTTTTTAAATTTAATTCTATGAACTAATTTTTTAATGTTAAAATTTATGCTAAAATGGACTTTTGTATTATGTAATATGATAAAAAAAACATGAATTTTCCTATAGTTTAATTATTTTAATTTTTTTTTAATATTCTGATTGTGTTTTTTCTCCTAAGTAATCAGTTTTGCAGTTTCTAAGTTTAAACGTTTAAAGTTATTTAATTTTTTGCAAAGGTATTACAAGGTTAACTGAAAAAAAGAAAAGAATTTAGTGCAATGATGTTTATGTAACAATTGCTGTCAATATGTCTAAATACTTTGTCATGCAGCACTTCATTGGTCTACCTGCGCTACATGTGGCCCTTCACTTAAAACGGTTGTGCACCCCTAATCTTCACTAATAAAATTCAAATACATTCACATTTTATCTATACTACAAGGTTCACGTAGTCTTTTAAAAAAAAATTATTGTAGACAATAATGTAACAGAGAAGCTCTTTTTAATTTGAAATGAAATATTTTTACTTTAAAATAAGTCGAAGCTTCACAACTAACCATAATCATATAAAAATTAAAAACATTTTATGGTGATTATGAACATAGTACAACATTCTTTCTGAATTTTCCACCATTTTTTTAAGGATCATACGAACCTTGTACTCAGTACACAAGCACATTTAAAACAATTACTTCACAGTAAGCAATCTTTATGTACAGCGAATTTCTAAAAATATACAGATCTCAAAATACATTCATTTTGTAGAAACCCTCAAAGTCTATTTTAAAATGTAAGATTTTAATTTTTAACTTGTTTTTATTGAATAATGATAATTTATGATATGGATACACAAGGTTTTGTATATGTAAAAAAAGTTTTTCAATGCTTTGGTATGTGGTATGATAAAATCCAAAATACGAAAATTGGTGTCAAAGTTTCTTAAAATCTAAGCAGTCAAGAAAAGTTTAAGCTCATAATAGTTGCAATAAAAAATATATAAATTGGGCTTCAATATTTTCTTGGGGTGGCACTTTTTAAATTTAAGTGTCGGTTAAAACTAGTAACAAACCACTAAAACTCCCCCTTTTTTTAATTTTGTGTTTTGTTTAACGCCTATAATTCTAGTATGTTAACTAACAAAATTAAAACAGATTAGTAAACTTCTGATCGCTTAATTAATTTCTTTTGAATTAATATTTGCCTTAAAAATAATAAGCATGTTTATGCAATTTAATAAAAGCAAAAACCTGTTGCACTAATTTTCATTCAATTATATTCTTGCTCCTAAAAATTAGCCCTCTGAATTTATGTAGATCCCCAATAGACGGTACATTAGAATAATAGAGAGGGAGCTCATCATTCCAATGTACCGTGAGGAAGACAGAAAATATCAAAAGCCTGCATAATTGCCGAAGAAACAGAGAAGAGTTTAAAAGCAATTATTAGTGATTGCTAGAAATTTTAACGGCAACATGGCTGGTGCTTAAAATTTTAACAACTTCTCGTATTGCATCTTCCTCGCTTACATGTTAATTCGTAACCCCTATGAAATAGATTTTTTGGCTGCATTCTTTAAAAAGTTTCATAAAATATAGATTGAAAATAATAGTTATGGAACATCATGTATAATGTCATTAAATATCAGATTGGAATAAATGAATAAGGACTTATGAATAAGCATCATCATCAAATGTATACTAAATGGGGACCTTTTTAAAAATTGTTTATATTCCTAATGCTTCCAATAATAGTTTCGTATACGAAATTCAAACCGAGAAATCCGGCAATCTCATTACATTTTCCATTACACATAAAACAATCTATTCAACATAAACCTCAATTACATTTTTATGTCTTAGAAAATAATATGACTGGTAAAATAATTTCGAAGTAAGGTGTAAATGAAAATAATAGTTCGTAAAGTAATTTGAAATGCCGCATTTAGCTGAGGCACTTGAATGCAGAACTGCAACTTAATTAACAGTTTATATCCTTTCATTTTAAAGTAGCGTCCACATTGCTTTCGTCTATATTACTTTTCAACTCTTCTACACACAAGAGTTTGCCAGTGTTAATTTTACAGAACCGCACACAATAAAAAAGAAATCAAGAAAATTAGCCATTTCCAAGAACTTGCAACATCAGCACTTGCATGCAAATGGTCTCTTTCATGTTCATCTTCTGAAAAAAAAGCAATAATGAATTAGAAGCAGTTTTAGTATTATAAATTGCATAAACAAATCAACGCAATTTTCCAAGAAAACTATCGTGCTTACAGAAAAATATGGAACCGGTCAAAAAGGCATTGAATAAAAAAAATTCTGAAAATGCGAATAAAACATTTTAAAGAGGTGAATTTTCTGTTACCAAACTCGATGCATTGCCCTGATACTCACTCCAATCCTAGAGTGTAGAGCAGGAGTTGGATTTGGTCTCTTTAGAAACCTTTTTTTTTTTTTGAAATATTAAACACATTCATTTTTATTTCTTAGAACTGACTTTTAATCTCAAATATAACTATTTGAGCCGCGATGGCTCAGGGGATAGAGCGTTCGCTTTCCAATGAGGGGTTCGATCCCGGCGATGTCTGGTCTGTGCGAATTCCTCATCCGGCTTGCACTGACCACAGTGCTCACGCGAAATATTCTTAGTGGTAGACAAATCATGGGTTAGAGTCCCCTTGCCGTCAGGCTAACCGTGGGAGGTTCTCGTGGTCTTCCGCTCCATGTAACGCAAATGTGGGTTAGTTCCATGAAAAAGTCCTCAACGAAGGCAAATTTCTCCCAATACTTGATCCAGGAGTTCCCTTGTCTTCTGGATTGGGTTCAAACTTACAAGGCTACGGAGTTGAACATTAGTAGTCGTAAACCCAAAAATTGGGTGGCTGTTCAAAGACGGTTATAAAATAAAATAAAATGTAACCATTTATATAGTGTGATTACAGCATAATCTGAAAAGCAAATGCAAAAAAGAAAAAAAAAACTAGAGATCGTATTGGTTTTTTTTTTTTTTTTTTTTTTTTTTTTTTTTNTTTTTGGAAAATCCAAATCTGCAATAAAAATATAATTTAATGATAGCAAAATTAACCCCAAACCACCCCCCAGGGGTTAAGGATGAGGTCAATTTTGGTATCATTAAAGGCATCTTTGAAAATTTCAAGGGTGTGCTTCTAAATTTTCTGATCCAATCAGTATTTCTCGAGATGCTTGACAGTTTCCATATTTTTCAGACACCTTACACAACTCGTTCAAAACGTACGAAATGTAAATTCATTGTGAGTCATGTTTTGACCTTAAAATTATATATCATTCTGACAATTATAAAATTTTATACTAAACGAAAATTATTTAATTTACTAGTGTTATTTTTGAAACGATGACCTTTATCAAGGTCTGTTCTTGAAATAGAAGTGGAGACAAAACTATCTAATTTTTATCCTTTCTCCAAAACAGTCTAAAAATATGAAATTGTGCCAGCCGAGGAATTTTGTTATTACTAAAAAAATAAGAAAAATTAGTAAAAAATATTTACGTCTAAACTAAACTTTCTGCTCTGATATCTAATTTCCTCGCCAACAAAAGATTTCTAACACTTAAAATTCAACAAATTATTAAAGTTATTTTCTTTTATCACTAGAAATCTATTGGCGTTGCAATGATTTCCGCATACTTTTTTAAAAATATAAATGCAATGCTTCCTGTTAAATCTGTGATAAAAACTTCTTGCATGCAGTTATGTCTCATGTCTATTTTTATAACGGGAAAAGCAAGGCAAAATGCAAAGTATTGCGTTCCAAGAAATCTCTAACATTTACTAGGACTTTCTACGATGAAGAAATTTCTTAAATGAAAACGTTTTTTTCTAAAAACATTTATTTAAGTACCAATTTTAATCAAATGAATAGAATTAAAGGAATATGTAGGAATGTTTATTTATCCAAAAAAAAAATCGACAAACTCTTTTAAAATTTGATAATAAAAAAAATGAATACCCAACTAATGTAAGTTCTATATAAAACCATTGAGTTAATCGCTATTATTATTAATAAATTTATTAAAAACTTCTTTGTTAACTAAATTTATATTTTTACCATCTGCAAATCTAATTCGGGCAAATCCGTGGCTAAGAATCTGTGCTAACAGGACAAGTCATGCTTCTTTTTTAAACAAATGTTAGCTTTCTAAAACCATTAAAATTTTATAAATAAATATCAACCTTATTAATTATTTTAATATTATTACCTTGAGCACATTCATTTCCAGGCCAATCCAAGGTAACTAACAAATCGAACAGTACTGCAGCAAGAACGCGAGATATATAAGATCGCTCTATTTACGCTTCTGTTTTCATATCTTATAATCTGACAATCCTATTACGAAAATATTTTAAATCATTCTTGAAAGATTCCGGCGCGTTTGAGTTCATTTGAATTTGCTTTCTCGCTATATAGTAGTAGTAGTTGTAGATCATTTACGTCGCACTAGAGCTGCACAATGGGCTATTGGCGACGATCACGGAAACATCCCTAAAGATGATTCAAAGACATGCCATCACTATTTTGATCCTCTGCAGAGGGGATGGCACCCCCGCTTAGGTAGCCCGACGACTTGCACGCGAAGTCTATTTTATTTTATATTATTTTATAACCGTCGTTGAACAGCCGACCCAATTTCATGGGTTTACGACTACTTACGTTCAACTCCGTAGCCTTGTAATTTTGAACCAATCCAGAAGACAAGGAAACTCTTGGATCAGTATCCACGGGGAGACTTCGGCCGGCGAGAATCGAACCCACGACCTCTTGGATATGGGCCCAGCGCCCTACCGACCAGGCTATCCTGGCCCTCGCACGCGAAGTCTAGCACTTTACGGTAGAACAGTTTAACGAGGACCAATACCGCACACCCTCGGTCCCTACGCAGACTGATCCAAGTAGTCACCCACCCGCACACTAACAGTAGCCGGTGATTTGCTGGGAACCGTGTCTTAACGATCAGTTCACTGCAGGACCTTGCTATATAGATTACGTTTTGTGTTTTCGTCAGTATTTTTCCTGCATTTTATTTTCTGTTTTTTGCTAGATTTGCTTTTTTTTCGTATATTTTTCACTTAATGTGTTCTATTTTCGTTTAAAATTTTTTTAGTGCTCCTCACACTATTGTATTAATATATTTTGCTTTGGCTATATTGATACAATATCAGCAAGCACTCTTTTTTGCGGATATAATCGTGTGAGCTGATGAAAAGATTATATCCTTTATTTTCCGGGTTTTTTAAAAAATTTCATCCCTTTTTTTTTCCTTTTTTTTTTAATCAGTTGTTTGTTTTTTTTTTCTTTATTATATCCCCCCCTACTTTTTCACATGTCTATAATTTTCCTTTGTTTTATTTTCATTTTGAACTTATATAAATATACAGTCAAACCTCGATATCTCAAACTTGAAGGGAGAAGAGAAAAAATTCGAGATACCAAAAATTCGAATTATCGAAAATCACATGTAATCGATGGTAAAATAAAGAAAAATGCTCTTTACATACCTGCTTTACTATTCCATATTTATTCTAAAAACAATTTTTACACTTGAAAAGATTCAATTGTTGTTTGCTTTAGAGATGTGTAAGAAAGTTTATCTATATCACTTTCTAAGTGAACTATAGCTTTAAATGTCTCCTCCGACATATTCGGCTGCCTCTCAGTAAATCTCCTTACAGTGTCCGCTGCAGAAAGTGCTTGTTTGAGAATTGGTTATGATTATGAGAATTGATTTTCTAATCTCAAAATGTTTTTCGGAATATTTTTTTATTTTCAGAAAAAAAAATCTACTCTATTTATGGAAAAAAATTCAAGTTATGGAGCGATTAGAAATTTTTTTTCGAGAAATCAAGTTTCTTTTAACATTACGTGTATAGGAAATTTGAAGAAAAATTTTTTTCTTCGAGATATCGAAAAATTCGTGAAACCGAGGTTCGAGTTAGCGAGGTTCGACTGTATATATATATATACACACACAACTTACCACAATCTATTTCATCAGATCCATCTTGGCACTCTGGAAAAAAATCACAGTAAAATTGTCGCTCAATGCAGCTGCCATCTTCACATTGAAATTCGTTTTCTTTGCACGCCTCCGATGCTTGAAAAAAATGACAAAATGAAGAAATCAAAATTTTTCAGAAACAAATAATATGAAGAAAAAAAAATTAAAGTCAATTCCTACTTATATCAACAAAGAAGATTTTTATTTCAGTTACTTTTTATTAAATAATTACTCCCCATCCCCTATAAAACCAAAACTAATTAATTAAACTTAATTGGTGAATTAATATTTGAAAAACCTATATTAACATCCACTGTAAAGTTTTAAAAAGAGTATTTGAATTTTGGTGGCTGAATAAGAAGTATTTTATTAACAATTGAAAATTTGAACAAGGTATATAATTATATATCAGAAAAAGCAAGTTTGGAGGAATTGGGTATAATATGAAAAAAACACAACTACTTCGATTTAGTAGGAACAACATATGACGCAATGCTAAACGAATGGAATTTAGTTGTTGTTTATTTAGTTATTGTTATTAGTAGTTGTTGTTATTTGTTTTAGTTGTTGTTTATTTAGTTGTATTTAGTTTCAATAACTTTTCTTTATAATGCAATAAAATCTGGCGAGCAGCTATTTAAACGATCGAACACTTCGTTTGTTTATTTGTGGCTTGAAGTTAGACTCGCAGAAAATGCCGTTCATGGGTTAAATTTAGTAGGAACAACACAACCTGTGACGTAGGCTATATTATACCCAATTGAAGGGGAAAATTAAGGCGCGTGGTATCAGGCAACTATAAAAGTATAAATTTGGTGACGTGGACAGCACGTGCTACCACGTAATGATCTTTATTGAATTTATCTGACACAGAGAATATAAAATAATTAAATATTTAAATGTGCGCAATGAACTTTTTTTTCTGTTGTTGTTCAAATAGAGCTATAATAAGTTAGAAATTATCACTGATGTAATCTTTAAAATATGTAGAAAACTGAATCGCTTATAGTAAAATTTAAAACAATGATTAAACGCTTAACAGATCAGAAAATTCCATTTCGTTTTTCGCTCATCCTTATTTAATTGATAAATTATTAATTGAAAAAACTGTATTAAAATCAATTGTCATCCACTAAAAGTTTTAAAAAAATGTATATGAACTTGAGTGGTTGTATAAAAAGTATTTTATTAACGATTGAAAATTCGAAAAAGATATAGGGAGAGTGAATTGAAAAAAGTTGAGCAATTGAAAAAAGTAGAGCAATTTTTAGAAATTCATAAAGGAGCTTGTTGGTATCAAACATTTACAATAATGTATAGTTGTTAATTCGAAGACTTAAGGCCTCCACACTATTTCAAGTGGTATAGTTAAATAACATTGGTACAGAGCTGCCAACTTACTACACTTTTTACTAAATATTTCATACATACATTGCAAATAATTGCGTATTGTAATACAAATAATTGCGCATATAATCCAAATATTTCATTTGGTAGATAGTTTGAAACAAAAGTTTTCAATGTTTTTATTTATTTTGCCAAAATTTTTATAAGTTTGTACGAGAAAGTCAGAGTGAAGAGTTTCGGAGTAGAGAGTTTAGCAGGAGAAACTCCAGACCATAATTCTATACCGCTGATACGCATGGATGCAAATATTTATTGGTAGGTAGAATATTATTTTTTAAAAAAATTCTAAAAATTATTTCTTGTGCTACAATACTCACTAAATTACTTACTAATTTAGTCATTTTTATAAGTCTGAAGAGGTGGGTATAATCAAAGAAGATTTTGTTTCAACTTAACTGTTAACATCATTAGAATCAAGGGTGCCGGCAGAATAATATGAATGGGGGTGCAACCCTCTGACAAACTAACCTCCCCCCCCCAAAAAAAATTTAAAGATATTCTGTTATTACATTTTGTTTTGTTATTACGTATACTTTCATCTGTTAAATTTTTTCAAGATACATTTCTTCATTGTTAACAAGATATTTTAAAAAAAGTACGAATTTCTTGTAATTGCAAATTTTGCATCCATAAAATGTATTGATGGTACTGGCATAGCTACTGACTTTGAAGCACAAATAACTACAAACAGTAGTTTCGTATACTAACGTGTTTGTGCAAGCTTAACATTGGTATTTATTGTGTTGTTGAAGTCTTACAGTTGTGAGAAGTCAGTTTGTGTTATACACCTTTGTTAAAGTAAATAACATATGGAAAACATAATATTATTTATATTTTATTAAATGAAATTTAAAAATATAGCTTAGATATCTGCCCAAGAAAAAAATATTTTTTTGACAGTTTAGATAAAAAATTTATTCGACTTATGAATAGATTTTACTAATTGAGTGCATTCTGATATTTTTTGTAGAAAAAAGTAATTTTAAGTAAGTATTTTTTTACAGATTTATGTATACAATTTTTAAAAGAATTTTTTTAAGTCTTCAATCAGTATTTACAATAAGGAATTTCCGAGAGCAGTAGGGTTACCAGGGGGGTGCAAGTGCAACCCCCTGCCGGCGCCCTTGATTAGAACGATGGATCGAAGTGACGTGTATATATTTTAAGAGTACAATCCTGGTTCTCGTATCCATACCTACTCAATTTCCATAGTTTTAGAAAACAATTGTCTCCTTGCCAGAAAAGTTAATGCATTGATATTTTAAAAGAGTTGAAAAAGAATTTCCACCACTACGTATAAATAAATTAAACATATATATAAAAGATATAGATTAATTATTAAAGATATGATAAAAGCCTAGAAAAAAGTCAGTTTTTATTAATAAAAATTCTGCCTAAATCCATTACCACTGCAACTCTCAAATATTGGAGCGTATGCATAGTAAACCAGAGTTGAAAGCTAACGTACATCAAGAGGAAAAAGAGCTAAATCTGGTTTTAAAAAAACATATCATTGTAGCTTATTTTCGGGAGGATTAAAATATCCATCATCGTTATCTTTTTGACAGTTATATATATGCATTGATCGAAAAGAAGAAGTTAATTACTTCTTTCAAAATTTGGTACCAGCAATTTTGAAATCATTCTTTAGGATTGCAATAGTTTTATTAGAATATTTAGATAGTCGTGTCGTAAATAAATGATCTTACGAATTGAGCCAACAGTTTCGCCACGTAAAATCTTCAATAGCATTTTCTGCCAAAAGAAAGACAGGTTAATAGAAATGGCATGGAAGTGTTTGCATAATTTTGCCCAACCCCTGTATATGAGACGTGGTAGCTCACTTCCAAATGAGGTTCGAATCCTAGCAATGGTCAATATGAATTCTGCTCCCGGGTCACACCGACAGCAGTGCTGACGTAAAATATCCTCAGTGGTAGACGGATCATGGGTCGGAGTCCCCTTGTCATCAGGTGGAAGGTTTTCGTGCTTTTCCTCACCATGTAACACAAATATGGGTTAATTCCTTCAAAAAGTCCTCCACGGAGGCAAATTTCTCCTAATTCTTGACGCAGGACTTCCCTTGTCTTTTGGATTATGCTCAAAATCCCAAGGCTACTGAGTTGAACATTGGTAATCGTTGGATCAGTTGTTCAACGACGGTTATAAAATAAAATTTAAAAAAAAATCTGTATACATGAATGTTTGTTTCTTACACAAGTAAATAGTAATAGATAGTTTAGTTGTAAATAAAGTTAGAGGCTTAGTCTCCCCCTGAAAACCAGCTACAAATGAAATTTCTTTACTACCAGTTTTTTTTTCCTCCCCATCTTGCTTTCAGGCCTGTACCAGACATTTTTTCATAATTTAACAATTATTATCATTTCAAATTAATTCATTTTATTATAAGTAATACACAGACTGATTTATTTATTCTCACATACTTGGAGCAGAGGAAATAGCTTCAGTAGCCAATTCATAATCAGAATGGATCGCTTCTGTGTTTTCTCCGTACTCTGCATACTCATCTGCATAGTATGGATCCCAATTTAGGGTAGAGTCATGATCATGGTCATGATGTAAAGAATGATCACTTTCTGCAGGAGGAGATGGTGACGTTTGAAAACGTTCGAGGGGATTCAAGGAATCTGGTTGGACATCGGGTCGCACGTGATGATTGGAATGCGTCATCTGAGCGAGTATAATTGGCATGACTGAAAGCATTAATAGAATCACCATCTTTATGTAACGTGAGCTGAAAAAGGAACAAAAAAAAAATACTTAGATCTCACAAAAAATGCATTATATTTTATTTGTCATTATCGAATTTCGATGTCTCATTAATCCTTTCAGGACTGTGATCACAAATACGTGATCATGTGATTCTTCCTTCATGGCCCCCGTTATCATTTATGAAACGAACCTTTCTGACTCCAACAACCCAAAATACACAGACGTGATCTCAATTACGTATTTTCGTATGGATGGTTGACTGAATGTAAACAATAATAAGCTTCCCGAAACCGAAAGAAATTTAGAAAGCTTCCGGTGTATCCTTCCGCTTATGTTATGTTTACGAGGTCCTGTGTGAACAGGCTTATTATTCTAGGGAAGTTTTGTTATTACGATTTTTATCAAAATTTATGCACAATTTTTACCATTCATAAACGATTTCTGTCCCACAGTGGACTGATCGTTAAGACACGGTTCCCAGCAGATCACCGAAGTCAAGCATCACTGGCTACGGTCAGTGTGCGGGTGGGTGACCACTTGGATCAGTCTGCGTAGGGACCGAGGGTGTGCGGTATTGGTCCTCGTTAAACTGTGCTACCGTAAAGTGCTCGACTTCGCGCGCAGGTCGTCGGGCTACCGAAGCGGGGGTGCCATCCCCTCCGCAGAGGATCAAAATTGTGATGGCATGTCTTCGGAAAAAAAGTTTTAATGTTTCCCAGACCGTCGCCAATAGCCCATTGTGCAGCTCTAGTGCGACGTAAAGTAACACCAACATAAACGATTTCTGTAATTTATAAATTCTAAGAGAATGTGAGCCTGAAACAAATTTAACAAAATCACAGCATAAATAAAGTTTAATGTTAGCCATGTTTTGAGTGCTATCTCTTATTTGGCTATATTCGTGTAAAATAGCACCGTTTGTTATTTTTCGGGTAGCAACATAGCCAGCTTGCAGAGTCCTCCGAATTCATCTGTAGTTTGTTTCGTTGAAATTTAGATTGTAAGAACGTGTTATATTGAAAACACTGCTAGTATAATCATATTGGATGGTGCGTTTTTTAACGCTTAGGCGAAAGAATCAGTTGGAAGTAGTAACCAGGAGGTCTTGCGACGAATCTGAGCTTAGCTTTACACAGTTAACCATCCATTACATCTCGAATTAATATACTTATGCTAATTAGCACGTATATTCTCAATGCATGCCGGAAGCGCTTCACTTTCGATCCTGAAGTGGTTAATAAAAATGCTTAATGACCCAATTAATCGACATCCGAGATTGTTGCAGAATATCATTGTATCTGTTTATCAACAAAACAAAAAAAAGAAAAAAGAAGTTTTTATAGCTATAAATTTATTTTAAAAACATATCAAATTGGTAGACAAACTCTCACAAACAGAGTGACTAACGAAAAGAATGGATACAAAATAATCGGCTTCAACAGAAGCTCTTTAAACAGATAAAGGATGACGTCATGATCCACACGATAATGACCAACATCTAATGAAAAGAAACTGGCCGATATTGCCGATATACGGAGACCATACCACAAATATATTTAAGTTACACAATGCTCGTTTAGGTTAACCCTTTGCACTCCGATATCTCCTCTGAGAACACACTGCAATTCAATCTAAGACTTAAAATTTAGTAACTGCTTTATTATATGATAGCTATATTAAAGTTCATAGTCTATATTAAAGCTATAGCAAGTATTAGAGTCTCAGTATCAAGGGTAAAGAGTTACGATATACAGGATAGGTAGCGTTAAACACAGAGGAACTGTTGCAATTGTATGAAGAAAGTTATGATTATATTATGCGTGTTAAATTGCCGTGTTTGCCTTTGTTTAATTAGCATGTTCAACCCGTTGAGCGACATGCGTATTTCCTGGAAACGCTCGTATTGTGTGGTATAGCAATGCGATGTTCTCTTTTAAATGATAGAAGCAAATAATAATTTTATTTGTAATAAATAAATATTAAGTAAATTTCAAATAAATGTTCAATAATTACTTAAAGCAATGTAACTTTTTTTTGGGAGGGGGGGGGGTATATTTCACACTGTCAGTAACCGCATTTGTTACATTAAACATATCCATATTGACGACACCACTTCTTATTATTTTCTCTTATACATTAATTCCCCTGAGAAAGGCAATTACCTGGCTCTTCCACTAAGCTCTTCAATTGTGTCAGCATATGCCTTTCAGTTTTGAGCATGATTTCGTAGTGTTTCTGAGTATAAATATATTAATTCTTAACTTTTTTGTTTATTCTGCCTGTGCGAAGAACGGGTATTCAGCTAGTTACTTATAAATGAAACGGTGATTATTTTTCATAAAAAATTACATAAAATGTTGATTAATATTGATTATAATTTATATCAATGAAATGATGATTAATAACAATTAAGTGAAATGTTGCTTTATATTAATTATAATTAATATGAATGAAATATTGATTAATATTAATTGTAATACCAAGCAAGAGTCCTTCTGTGTTTGTGCTCAAACANTCTAGCTTCATATTGAAATGAATTTTTGTTTCGTCTCCTGAGTCAATTGTATAACTGCTAGAATTTATTATTATTTATAAATGAAGTATAAATGAATGAATAAATGAAGTGGTGGTTATTTTTTATTATAAATGTTTTATTATAAAAGTAAATATAATGTCGATTAATATTAATTAAAATTGAAATGAATGTAATGTTGATTAATATTAATTAAAATTGATATGAATGTAGTGTTGATTAATATTAATTATAAATAGAAGTAAATGTAATGTCGATCAATATTAATTAAAATTTATACGAATGGAATGTTGATTAATATTAATAATGACACGCAAACGATCTCAACTTTGCTTACTACATTATTATGCTGAAGCAGATATTTCTGATCTTGTTCTAACTTTATGTAACTAATTTCGTTTCGTCAAATGATCCATAATATTATTCTTAGAAATGAATATTAATTATAATTGATATAAATAGAATGCTAATTAAAATTAATTATGAAATTCCTAAATGTAGACTCACCTCACTTAATCTTTATACAAAGAATTTGCTCTGGAACGTGCAATATTAGTTTCCAGCGGACGTTCTAATTCCTTTTTGAATTCAATTGCAGAGAAGAACGGCACTAAAAAAGACGTGATCGGGCGCTGTTCCTGATAAAAACAACTGCTGTACAATCCATTTTTACCCATGCTGTAGACGAGGAGGCACAACAGGAAACTAGCTCTGATGATAAGAATTCTTTTAATAAATGTTTTTTTCAATTGGTATGAGTAAGAATTCTGAAGAAAAAAAGTGTCTTCAAATCGCTAATATTTATGTCCATATCGGTTCAATATCAGATATCAATTCAAACTTGACCCACTGAAACCAAGGTCAGAAGTGTTATTTTGGTGCTAAAGCAGAGGAACTTTTTCTTTCACAACAATCACCTAATTGTACTAAGTTTTCACCCAATCATAACTCTAAGCATGTGTTCAAGTTATCGAATCAAGTTACGTGAGAAACGTTTCTTTTTAATACATTTTAAAAACAACAAATACATTTTATAGCAAAAGTTTATTTACCGCTATTATAATTTTAAGGTGTCCAGTGGTCCCTGAAAACTATAACAATGACAAATAAATTTTTGTTATCATATATATTTCATGTTTTTAAAATGTTAACATGAAATATTCATGATCACAGCAATAATTCGGTAACTCAGACACATACTTTGAGTTATGTTATGGACCATGTTATTTTTCACTTCTTTGATGATAAGTTAACAACTGCGATAGAAATTTTAAGGGACTACTGGAGGCATTGTAATTTTGGTGGGCCAATGAACACTGGAGTTCAACTCATTTTTTCCCAGGCGCAAAAAATGGTTTCTATATGTAAAACAACTCTGGATGGCTATGGTAAATACACTTTTGTCTATACCTATTGGATTCTGTTAACACCTTGTAGTCTTTTTCGGAACCGCAAGTTTAGATAGCAAATTTTAAACCAGTAGGACATTAGCAAGTGCATATTGTATGTGAAGTGGCATACTGCTGCTCTTTGTCGCTTAAAGAATAGTTGTTGCTAAGAATTCGAAAACTTTAAAAAGCTTTATTTAGTTTTACATTTCTAGTGATTTGTAACATTTGTTGAATTAGCACCGGGCATTAGCAAGTACAACCTTAGACTGCATATTCTAAATCAGTGGTTACCAACTGGCGGCCCGCGAAGTCCTTTTTTTGTGGCCCGTGAACTAAAATATATTAGTTGTCATTTTTTTGAGGACAATTTTTGTAAGAAATCTATATGGGTTTTAAATAATTTCAAGTTTTATATCTTAACAATTTGATATCTGTTGGACATTAATTGTTTAAAAGTGCGCATTAAAGTAATTATAGCCAGGAGTTTTAATATGCAATTAAATATTTTATAAAATCTATTTCTTACTTTAATTTGTAATGCAATACTTTTGTTTTGCACAAATTGATAAAAATCTGACAGTAATATTTAATGTTCGTTCAAACATAAAAGAGTCCTATATGAAATTTTGATGAAGTTGAGGCCCGCCATTTGACTAGTGTTTTTAATTGCGGTTGTTAAAAATCCGTAAACTTTAAAAAGCATCAATTAATTTTAAATTTCTATTGGTTTGTTGCATTTGTTGAAATAGTGTAGGATATCAAGTGCGCCCTTAGATTATATATTCTAAGTGAAGTGACATACTTCTTCTCTTTGCTGTTCAAAGAATAGTGGTTGTTAAAAATCCGTAAACTTTAAAAAGCATCAATTAATTTTAAATTTCTATTGGTTTGTTGCATTTGTTGAAATAGTGTAGGATATTATCAAGTGCGACCTTAGATTATATATTCTAAGTGAAGTGACATACTTCTTCTCTTTGCTATTCAAAGAATAGTGGTTGTTAAAAATCCGTAAACTTAAAAAGCATCAATTAATTTTAAATTTCTAGTGGTTTGTAAGATGAATTAGTGTTACCTGACTAGCTACACTGCAAAAAGGATTAAAAAAAACATTTCGATTTGACTGCAGATTTTGGAAGTAGCAATGCTACTTAAAATTTTTTGAATTGTTCTTTTTCAAATAAGTATAGTAAGGTCACCAACCAGCCGTTCTTCTATCTTGAAGACAATCCCCGAGTTTCTAAAGTTGTCTTTAGAGTCTTTCAAACCATATATGGCAGTACTTTTACTTTCGTTACTTGTACCGCCGGTACAAGTAAATAGTACGTACTTTTACTTGTACTTCGTTACTTTTTAAATTTAGTACTTTTACTTGTACTTTCGTTACTTTTTT